TACACGTCACAGGACTCAACAGCTTACAAACACTCGACCTACAGGAAGTCTGCAAAGAATTTGCAGATGTTTTCAGCCCCCAGCTGGGCACATTCAAAGGACCACCTGTGTCCTTAAAGCTAGACCCCACTGTCACTCCCATTAGGATTAAAGCAAGAAGGGTCCCTTTTGCTTTAAAAAGTAAGATTGACACTGAATTAGACAAACTATCCAACAGGGAATCCTAGAACCTGTTGATTCCAGCCCGTGGGAGACCCCCATTGTCACGCCTCTAAAGGCAAATGGGGACATTCGCATTTGTGCTGATTACAAATGCACACTCAATAAGGCATTGCAGCAACATGCCTATCCTGTTCCTGTGGTCAGTCACATCCTGGCCTCTCTCAAGGGGGGGCGTGTTTTTGCAAAGCTTGACCTAGCTCAAGCATATCAACAGCTGCCTGTTGATGATGATGCTGCCATAGCTCAGACTATTGTGACCCACAGGGGAGCCTTTAAGGTAAAAAGGCTACAGTTCGGAGTGAATGTTGCTCCTGGGATTTTCCAAAGTGTAATGGAAAACACACTACGAGGTATACCAGGGGTCTGTCCCTATTTTGACGATGTCTTGATTGCAGGAGACTCCACACACATTCTAGCTGAAAGGCTTAGGGCTGTCCTGTTAAGATTCAGGAAATCAGGCCTCAAGCTCAGAAAAGACAAATGCAAGATTGGGGTGCCTTCTACTGAATTTCTGGGATTCAAAATTGATGCTGCTGGGATTCATCCTGCTGAATCCAAACTAACTGCTATTTTAGAAGCACCCAGGCCAAAGTCTAAGGCCGAACTTCAGGCCTTCTTAGGCCTCCTGAATTTCTACAATTCTTTTCTTCCACATAAAGCTAGTGTAGCTGAGCCTCTTCACAGGCTACTAGACAAACAAGCTGTGTGGCTGTGGTCACAAGCACATGAGGCTTGCTTTAAAGAAGTCAAGGCCTTACTCACTTCTAACAGTGTTCTTGCACATTTCAACGAGTCTCTCCCTGTGTGCATCGCTTGTGATGCGTCCCCCTACGGGGTTGGAGCTGTCCTGAGTCACCTCAGGTCTGATGGAACTCAGGTTCCTATTGCATACTACTCCAGAACACTGTCTTCTGCCGAGCGCAACTACGCTCAGATAGACAGGGAGGCTCTGGCTGTTGTTGCTGGAATTAAAAAATTCCACGATTTTCTATATGGCAGGCATTTCACGGTCTTCACTGACCATAAGCCTCTGCTGGGACTGTTTACCACACGTAAGCAGACTCCCCACATCATTTCCCCTAGAATGCTTAGGTGGTCTATTTTTTTGTCTGCATATGATTTTTCATTACTCCACAAGCCTGGGAAAGAAATGGGCCATGCTGATGGCCTCAGTAGATTGCCTCTGCCAGTAGTAGAAGCTGACCCCGCGCCAGCTGTCAACATTCTATCAATCCAAGCCTTGCCCGAGCTCCCTCTTAGTGCCAGGGATGTTACCGCTGAAACGGGTACAGATCACACACTTTCACGTGTCCGCTCCTGGGTCCTGTCCGGGTGGCCTGAGCACTGCCCTAGTCCTGAGTTTCAGAGTTTCTGGTCCAAAAGGAACGAACTGTCCCTTTCTCAGGGTTGTCTGCTTTGGGGAAACAGAGTTGTCATTCCCACCTCAATGAGGACTAGGGTCTTAGAATCCCTCCACGAGGGTCATCCTGGCATTGTCCGTATGAAGGCTCTTGCACGAAGCCACTTGTGGTGGCCTGGTTTAGATAAAGATATTGAGGCTAAGGTACACGCATGCCACCTGTGCCAACGATCTCGCCCAGAGATGCCCCAAGCTCCTGTGCATAGATGGGAGGAAACACAGTCCCCATGGTCTAGGGTGCACATTGACTACGCTGGGCCCTTTCAGGGCCAGTTCTTCTTGGTCCTTGTTGACAGCCATTCAAAATGGCTTGAGGTTGTGCCTGTCTCATCCACCACCACTGCAAAGACTATTCAGGTACTGAGGGGGATTTTTGCTGCACACGGGCTGCCAGATGTCATTGTGTCCGACAACGGCCCTCAATTCACCTCCTCCGAATTCCAAGCTTTCTTACAGGCAAACCTGATTCGTCATGCCACGTCTGCGCCTTTTCACCCGTCCACCAACGGTATGGCTGAACGCATGGTGCGCATCGCAAAGGACGCCTTGAAGAGACTCACCTACGGGGACTGGCATCACAGGTTGGCTGACTTTCTCCTTTCTTATCGCACCACACCGTCCACTTCTACAGGGAGAAGTCCAGCTGAACTTCGTTGGGGGCGCCAACTTACTACTAGACTTGACCGGTTGCATCCGGACAGACTGCCTTCATCTACCTCACATCCTAGGGCACCTAGACAACTACTTGTGGGTGCCCCGGTTTGGGCTCGCAATTACGGGCCTGGTCATACATGGGTCCCCGCTTCTGTGTCCAGGATCACAGGTCCTCTCTCCTACGAGGTTGCCCTGGACAACGGTCGTGTCCTGCGTCGGCACATCGACCAACTTCGCTCTAGGCGAGACTTTTCTGATGAGACTCCTGGGTCTTTTCCAGGGGGGGAGGGGGACCCTTTGGAGCAAAGGGAAGGGCAAGAGTTACTGCCCATCTCCACTGAGGGAGCCACAAACGGCCCGTCCCAAGATTCCGCAATTGCTCCGAAAAGGAAGTCATGGAGCTTACCCACACAACAGGCACTCACGCCTACTCCAGCCAGGGAGTCACCCCGGGGGCATACTCACTTTCCACACACGTCACACAGCACTCCAGTCACGGAGGATACCCGGGGGCATCCCAACAAATCATTCCCCGCAAGAGAGCTGGCACACAATCCCCAAAGTTGGCCTGACCTTACCCCAAATCCTACAGAGGGTCAAACATACACAGAGCTAGTCGAGGAACCAAGTCCCGACTACAACACCCCTAGCACAAATCAGGGAACACCTGAGTTTTGGGAAAGTACAGAAACCCACACGAGCCCGAGCACAGAATGGGGTTCAGGGAATGGACAGCCTCCTGACAGGTCTTGGACTGACCTAGGAGGTTCTACAGAGACGCCCAGCAGTGGCTATCACTTCAAGGGGCCTGAGGGTCTACAGCTAGGTAGGTCAACCAGGTCACAAAGCAACAGAAGCCCTGGCCTGACGAGCCCGGTGGGCAAGCAAGCAGGCCAGGCATCGGGGCACAGTCCTTGGAAGACACCAGGGCACAATAGAGAGAACAGGCTCACGCCTCCCTCCAGTCAGGGGACTTATGCCAGTAACCCACAGCTAAGAAGGTCACAGAGAGCAAAGAAATCTCCTAAGTACCTAGAAGATTACATAACATTGCTGGCAAGGCAAAAGCCAGTAAACAGTGGGAGCACTGGGGAGCAAATTGTCGTATAAAATAAATGTTGTATGTTGGTAGTAGTTTTAGCCCGGGGGAAAGGGGTGTTATGTCCCGAGCCTTTGCAAACGGCTCGGGCGTTTGCAGGCAGTCCCGGGCAGGTGCAAGACTGCCCGGGACCAGACAGGCTGTCGCCAGCGCCGTGCGCATGCGCGGGAAAAGTAACCCATTTACCCGGGAGTTGCCTATATAGGAGGCTGCGAGGCGTTTGGGCTGAGGCTGAAGCCATCTTCTGTAAGCTGAACGCTGAATAAAAGAAACTGAGAACTCCAGCTGCTTCTCGTGTCTGTTTTCCCGCCACGGACTCAACAGAAACATTCCTGGAAATAAAGGAGACTGAGACTGGAGCTCTGCTTTGCAGTTCATCAAGACTTTACTACATTTTTGCTTTCAGCATTTAATTTTCACCTCCAGATTGGATGGCAGACATGTAAAACTCTGGTTGTCAATCCCCATTGGCAGATAAATTGTAGGATGAATGTAGAACACTAAAGAGGCTTCTGTTCTGATAAAACTTTGGGTGGGGGGAGAAATGCTGGGATGAGCAATAGTTGAGTTTTTTTTAAGAAAAGTTTTTATTTTCAATTTTACAATACATTACAATCTTAAAAATACTTCAGATAAAAAATAAAACAAATTGATACACACCACTTTTGGTATTGCCCACCCGTTTCCCCTCAAATCGCACCCACCCTCTAACCAACTTACTTCTTTCCCTCTTCTTTTTGATACGAAGTTTCTTTTTGATATGAAGCCTCTCATAACCTTTGCAATTTTTATTGATACAGTTGTGATCTTATATGACTTCTAAGGTGACCAACCGTCTTCCTAGGTGACCAACCGTCCTCCTTTAGGGAGGACAATCCTCCTTTTGTAAGTTCTGTCCTCCCTTGAAAAGTGTCCTCCTACATGTCCTCTTTTTTGATATTTGAAGACTAATCTGCAGGACTTTTTTTTTCTCATAGAACGCTTAGAATGGTGTTCTAGAAAGAGACAAGGTGGCCTACCTCTGGCCCACCTTTTTTTGATGTTTTTTTTTTCAACTTTTTCATGTGCTGTGCTACTCCTGCTATTGGCTTTTGAAAGCCAATAGGAATTGCTGCTGAGCGCGCCAAAACACCGGCTTGCAAACTTTGCACATGCAAGTTGTCTGTATTATTGTTGCAGTGAATAAAATGCTTCTTTTATTTACAATATTTTTTTCTTCAATTTATTTGTGTCCTCCTTTTCACTGTAAAAAAGTTGGTCACCTTACTTCACAAAAAAGGTACTGCATTTTTCATTATTGTAACTATTTCTCCAGTTCCTCTAGGACACTTTTGCTTATTTTTTTAATGCTATTTGAAATTATAAGTTGGCCTTATAAATCAGGGGTCCTCAACTTTGGCAACTTTAAGACTTGTGGACTTCAACTCCCAGAATTTGCCACGGTTGAGGACCCCTGTTCTAAGGGATCATTCAGATTAAATGAACTGGAGGACAAATACATTTAATATATTATGGGTTGTTCTGGATACTGTCTCTCCAAATCTCTATTCTGATTTCCCAAAAGAAATGTTAATTATATCCCTCACCTATTATTTTATCTTCTAGCCGCCAATCATCATTATACATCATTATATAGTGATGGAAGGCAATTTCAAGCGAAGAATGAGAAATGCTATGAAGCGTCTCCAAGAAGAGGTAGGAAAAACTTTTTGTTCATGGGTCACAGCTACAGAGTCTGAATTAAAAGCTGGCATCAGTGTAGAAGACAGAGAGATAGACAGATAGACAGACAGACAGACAAACTTCTTTTATTTAGTAGTGTATATTTTCAGGCAAGTATACAGAGTTTAGATGCCAGAGATATCTGTTGGCACTTAAGATTTAAGGATCGAGAAACAATGGTTAATATCAACCCCTCCTTCCCAAACAAAACATTATTTAAAAAAATTAGTGTTTTTAATTGCTAACAGTAAGTTTATCTTTTTAAAATAATGTATTATGTTAATGATGCAGGAAGAACTATCAAGGCTTCCCAAAATAACAACTTCAGTAGCAGAAAGGAGACTTGCTGAGGTATGGAATATATAGTGGCAGTCTGTATACAAAACATTAAGAATGAAAATAAATATGACTCCTCTTGGTTGGGTTATCTTTACAGGAAGTCCTCAACTTATGACCACAACTGAGCCCAAAATTTCTGTTGCTAAATGAAAATTTGTTAATGAGTTTTACCCCATTTAATGACCTTTCTTGCCACAGTTGTTAAGTGAATCTGGTAACATGGTTGTTAAGTGAATCTAGTAACATGGTTGTTAAGTGAATCTGGCTTCCCCCAATGACTCCGCTTATCAGAAGGTCACAAAAGGGGATCACGTGACTCCAGGACACTGCAGCTGTCATAAATATGAACCAGTTGCCAAACATCTGAATTTTGATCACATGACCATGGGAATACCACAATGGTCGTAAGTGTGAAAAACAGTCATAAGTCATTTTTTTAGAATGAAGTTGTAACTTTGAACGCTCACTAAATGAATGGTTGTAAGTCGAGGTCTACCTGTATTTCCTTGCAAATTAATTCAGAGTCTGTACTTAAGGTGCCAAAATGGAAAGTATTTTTTTTTTTTTGGGAAAAAATGTGTGGTTCCCTCCCCAATGTTTTAGTTACTTATCATTTCTAAGTCATGTACTAGTTAGGTTATCCTCATATATCCAATTTTATATCCATATATAAAATATATCCAGCCAATTTTGGTCACCATATCCCAAAAAAGATGTTGAGAGTTTGGAAAAAAATTCAGAGAAGAGTAACTAAGATGATCAAAGGCTTAGAGACTAAAACATAGGAAGAACGGCTGTGGGACTTGGGTTTGGCTAGTCTGAAGAAAAGAAGAAGTAGGGGAGACATGATAGCAGCGTTCCAGTATCTGAGGGGCTGCCACAAAGAAGAGGGAGTCAAATTATTCTCCAAAGCACCAGAAAGCAAGACAAGAAACAATGGATGGAAAGTAATCAAGGAGAGAAGCAACCTAGAACTAAGGAGAAACTTCCTGACAGTGAGGACAATTAACCAGTGGAACAGCCTGCCTCCAGAAATCATGGGTGCGCCATCACTGGAGATTTTTAAGAAGAGGCTAGACAGTCACTTGTCTGAGATGGTATAGGTTCTCCTTCTTAAGTGGGAGGCTGGACTAGAAGACCTCCAAGGTCCCTTCCAGCTCTATTCTATTCTATCCTCATTTATCAAAAATGATTAACTTGCATAGTAAATCTGATCTCAATTCTGGTTGGTGCCCCCTTACTACCTGCTGGGAAAGTGACAGAGGAAATAAATCTGATAATTCTGATATGTCTATTTCTAAATCTGTAGGACAACAAAGACGTCAAAACCAATAATGAAACATTTAACAGGGGCAGCGTCCACTTGCAAAATCAACATTTCATTATGCTTACTAGCCTATTTAATTGATCCTTATGACTTTAATTGCTTTTCAGCTATATACATCACGCAGCTGTCAGTTTCCCAAGCATTTGGAAAATTCCACCACATATGATTTCGGTGAGAAAGAGGCAGATCATGATTTACGTTTCACCAAGCGTGGCCACCAGGTCAGCAATCAGTCTTCTGAGGAATTGGTTGAGTATATGTTATCAAGAAATGCAAAGAGGTTTCACAAGTGAGTGGTTGGTTTTTAGAAAGGAAATGTGTCCCATTTTTGGTGGGCATGATCTATTAGCCAGGTTTCCTGCAAGGAGTCCACAAGCAGGGGTCTTCAAACTCGGCCCTTTTATGACTTGTGGTCTTCAACTGCCAGAATTCCTCAGCTAGCGTGCCTGGCTGAGGAATTCTGGGAGTTGAAGTCCACAAGAAGGGGTTTTCAAACTTGGCCCTTTTATGACTTGTGGACTTCAACTCCCAGAATTCCTCAGCTAGCGTGCCTGGCTGAGGAATTCTGGAAGTTAAAATCCACAAGAAGAGGTTTTCAAACTTGGCCCTTTTATGACTTGTGGACTTCAACTCCCAGAATTCCTCAGCCAGACACGCTGGCTGAGGAATTCTGGGAGTTGAAGTCCACAAGTCATAAAAGGGCCAAGTTTGAAGACCCCTGCACTAGGGAGTCTTAATTCTTCTTTCTAAGCAACCATTATGGGAGGCTGGGAAGAGCTAGCCAGTCCAGACAGATGCACATCTACATATCTCAACACTGAAAATCACTGGGGCAGCACTAGACTTTCTCTAAGTTTATTCTGCTTTCCATGGATGTAAAAAGTTGGAGATAAAAGAGGGAAAAAAATAAATTATGTGAGAAAGATTGCAATTCCCAAATGTGAATTAAGTGCCGATGTCAGTACAGACAGAACAATATCAAAATAAATCCTGTTTTATTCAGTGATGTGTACTCCCAGGCAAGTGTGCAGAATTTAAACAGCAGAGGTATCAGTTGGCACCTGAAGTCTGAGGATGAAGAAACAGTGGTTAACATTGCCCCCTCCCCCAATAAAGGTGTGAGAAAAATTAGTGTCTTTAATTGCTGATAGTCAGTTTGTCATTTTAAAATGGTGTATTTTGCCAACTTTGCAGGAAGAATGCCTTGTAATGCAAAGACTTTTGATGGAACAAAAGAGAGTGATTGAGGTATATCATATACAAGACATTAACCATGAACAGAATAACATTTGGAAGGGACCTGGGAAGTTTCTAGTCCAACCCTCTCCTCAAGCTGGAAACCCTACAACATTTTAGATAAACGGTTGCCGAATCTCTTCCTAAATGTCCAATCTCATCTCAAAATATGACTACTTATGGTTAGGTTATTTTGATGTCCTTGCAAATGAAATCAAACTCCAACCTGAACTGAACAAAGAGAGAAGCAACCTGGAATTAAGGAGAAACTTCCTGACACTGAGGACAATTAACCAATGGAACGGCTCGCCTCCAGAAATCGTGGGCGCTCCATCACTGGAGGTTTTTAAGAAGAGACTAGACAGTCACTTGTCTGAGACGGTATATGTTCTCCTGCTTGATCAGGGGCTGGATTAGAAGACCTCCAAGGTCCCTTCCAGCTTCTATTCTACTCTACTCTACTCTACTCTACTCTACTCTACTCTACTCTACTCTACTCTACTCTATTCCTATTTCTTATTCTATTCTATTATATTCTATTCTATTTTCTACTCTACTCTATTCTATTCCTATTTCTTATTCTGTTCTATTCTATTCTATTCTATTCTATTCTATTCTATTCTATTCTATTCTATTCTATTCTATTCTATTCTATTCTATTCTATTATTTTTCTGTTCTATTCTATTCTATTTTCTATTCTATTCTACTCTACTCTATTCTATTCCTATTTCTTATTCTATTCTATTTTCTATTCTATTCTATTCTATTCTATTCTATTCTATTCTATTCTATTCTATTCTATTCTATTCTATTCTATTCTGTTCTATTTCTGTTCTATTCTATTCTATTATTTTTCTGTTCTATTATATTCTATTTTCTATTCTACTCTACTCTACCCTACCCTACCCTACTCTATTCTATTCTATAGTGTATTTTTGAAAAGAAATGTGATCCTGTTCCCCATGATAATTGAGGAAACCCCAGAAATCAGTCTGTGATTTCAGAACTGTGCAGCTTTTTTGTGGTGCAAAACAATATGCCCTTCTCTGTAAACTGAGTGAGGCACTTAATTAAAATGGCAATTACAACAACACTCTATGATTAACCCTCTCAGTTTGAGGCTGCCTAATCCCATCCCAGTTTTAAGACAAAGAACCGTACTAGAAAAAAATAGGGAGTGCAGAGATGGGCCACATTTTTCTCCCCAACTGTAAAATTATTGCATTTTTTATTATTATTAGTTTTATTCATTTATAACTTAAAATGTGAAAAAACAAAAGCAAATAGTAGAGGTCAACAGTAGAAAAAAGGAAAACAAAAAGGGTGTGAAGAAGGGGGGGGGAAGAAACAAAAGTCACTGACTTCCACTCTGTTGCAGTAAAACCAGACATTAAAATCAAATCTCAACTTTTTACACTTCTCTAGTAGTATCCACTAGCCATTTCTGTATCTGCAAATCTAATCGGTAAAACCCAAAATCATAATATTATTTTTTTACACCTCAAGAAAAGTCCAGAAGCGGTTTCCAAAAGGACTTATATTCTTTTCTTTTACCAGCACAATCAATCTGGCCATCTCTGCTAACTCCATCAGCTTTTGTAGCCATTTGTCCATGGTAGGAATCAAGGCATCTTTCCACTTTTGTGCATAGAGCAATATTGCTGCCATCACTCTATATAAAATCAGAGTTCCAATTTTTTTCCCCAGTTCTCTTTCCATTAGACCTGGAAGGAATGTTTCTGGTTTAATCTTTATGTTCACTTTAAGAATTTTCTGCATTAATTAAAATGATTGCATTCTTATTGACATTACGATGCTGCACCTCTACAAATTACTATCTGTAGATGTTATTCTTTGTTGGGTCAAGAGAGTTTGTTTTGGCAAAACATACTGATTTCTTAGGAGAGGGCTTAGTTGGAATCTAACCATCATAGACCAGTGGTGGCGAACCTATGGCACGGGTGCCAGAGGTGGCACTCAGAGCCCTCTCTGTGGGCACGCACACCGTCACCCCAGTCCTAGGCCTTCAGTTGGGTTTTATAAAACATTTTTGCTTTAGGCCTCTGCCACCGTGTGCAAAAAAAAAAAAAGGTTCAATCAGTCAATTCCAATTTCTCATGGGGAAAAAAAAAGATCTTGCAAAGTTGGAATTGATTGATTGAACTTTTTAGTCCCACCCAGTCTGCTGTTACCACTGCAGCCATGCCCACCCAATGGGCCACATCCACCCAATTGGCCACACCCACCCAATGGGCCACACCCACTCGGCACCCAACCATCCATAAGTGGGTTTTGGGTTGCAGTTTGGGCACTCAGTCTCTAAAAGGTTCGCCATCACTGTCATAGACTGTCAGCCTTCCCAGGTAGATAAGACAGGAAATCAAATAAGATAATTCTACTTTACCCAAAAATTAATTATTGTTTTAATATTGAGCTTATAGCCTGAAAAATATTTCATGTTGCAATAAGAGGTGAAATACACATGCGCGTGCACACGCGCATACACACACACACACACACACACACACACACACACACACACACACTTCACTTGTAATATATTTTGACTTTTCCAGACTCTTCAGATGAAAATGAAATTCCTGGAAGAGGAGCTGAAGAAGGCGAAGGACCTGGATTTTAAGTAAGTCTTGGCATAGTCATAAATGCCTTTATGTGATACACTTTCAATTGCCCAGAATTTTCCCCTTTTTTGTGTTGCATTCCTTATATTCCTTGTACCAAATTTGAGTTTATTTTGATATTATTGAATATCCCAGGAGTTTTAAAGAATCTTCAATTTCTCAAATAAGTCACACCGAAACAAGTTAGATTAAAAAAAAAATCAAATTTTAGTACTGATAACTAGATTAAATCCAAACTGAATGATTGAACATCCAAGGAGTTTTAAGGCAGGGGTTCTCAACCTGTGGGTCGGGACCCCATTTGGGGTCGAACGACCATTTCACGGGGGTCGCCAAACAACGCAGTCCACCATTTTTTCCCCCCTTTTCCTTAGCTGTGCTACTCCCTTTTATTCTATTGGCTTTGAAAGCCAATAGAATAGACTCTCTTGAATAGAGTCTAATTCTATTGGCTTTCAAAAGCCAATAGGAATTGTCCAGGCTGTCTCTGCCCTGCTGAGCCCGCCAAAAGTCCCATTCTGCAAACGGTGCTGCACCAGTTGAGTAGTCCTCGACTTACGACCGGTTGAGTAGTCCTCGACTTACGACCGGTTGAGGGTCGCGGCATTAAAAAGGTTGAGAACCACTGTTTTAAGGGAAGGCTTCAATTTCTCAAATAAGTCATATAAATAAATTAGCTTAAAAGAAATTTCATCAGATTTCAGTATTGATAACTACCGTATTTTCCAGCATATAAGACGACTTTCTAAAGTGTGGAAATCGGCGCCGAAGTTGGAGGTTGTCTTATATGCTGAGTCGTCTTATATGCTGGAAATTACGGTAGTTTCCAGCATATAAGACGACTTTCTAGGCATGGAAATAAGTGCCGAAGCCGGGGGTCGTCTTATATGTTGGGTCGCCTTATACGCCGGAAAATACGGTAGATTAAATCCAAACTGAATGATTGGACATCCTAGGAGTTTTAAGGCAAGGCTTCAATTTCTGAAATAAATCATACTGGAATAAGTTAAATTAAAAGAAATTTCAGCAGATGTCAATACAAGTGCATGCATGCACACCCACGCGCGCGCGCACACACACACACACAAATACATAAACATGTATATGAAGGCGTTTTTAATATTTTTAATTGAAAAAGGTTTGCTGATTCAGGTAAAAAAAAACAAGGGAACTAATTTCATTTGTGGCCTTCATAATTTATAGGAAGTCAACGATAATTTCACATCTGTTGTTGGAAAGAGAAAAGTTCCACCATGAGAACAAGGAGCTTGTAAATATCAGATTCCAATTGCGAGGAGAGAAACAGCAACTCAGTGAACAGTTTGAAGAGGAACTGAGCAGGTGAGAAATGTTTAAAAAACAACCTTTATATTAAATTCTCTTTAGCTCCCTCCCCTGGATATACATTATAAAATGTACAGGAAGTCCTCGACTTACATCAGTTCATTCAAAGTTACAAAGGTACTGAAAAAAGTGACTTTTTCATAATTAGAGCCATTGCAGCATCCCTGTGGTCACATGATCAAAATTCAGACACTGGCTCATATTTATGATGGTCACAGTCTCCCAGGGTCACGTGATCCCCTTTTGAAAACTTCTGATAAGCCAGTGGTTCTCAACCTGTGGGTCGGGACCCCATTTGGGGTTGAACGACCATCTCACGGGGGTCGCCAAACAACGCAGTCCGCCATTTTTTCCCCCTTTTCCTTAGCTGTGCTGCTCCCTTTTATTCTATTTGGCTTTTGAAAGCCAATAGAATAGACTCTCTTGAATAGAGTCTAATTCTATTGGCTTTCAAAAGCCACTAGGAATTGTCCAGGCTGTCTTTGCCCTGCTGAGCCCGCCAAAAGTCCCATTCTGCAAACGGTGCTGCACCAGTTGAGTAGTCCTCGATTTACGACCGGTTGAGTAGTCCTCGACTTACAACTGGTTGGAGGTCGCGGCATTAAAAAGGTTGAGAACCACTGTGATAAGCAAAGTCGATGGGAAATCCAGATTCACTTAATAACCATGTTACAAATTTAACAAGCGCAGTGATTCACTTAACAACTGTGGCAAGAAAGGTCAAAAAATGGGGGAAAACTCACTTAACAAATGTCTCACTTAGCAACAGAAATTTTGGGCTCAATTATGGTCATAACTGTATCAAAGTTTGCCTTATGATATCGAGATTAAATGCAAATCAAACTGAATAACTGAATATTCTAGAAATTTTAAGGGAAGACCTTAATCTCTCAAATAATTCCTACTGAAATAAGTTAAATTAAAAGAAATTTCATCTGTGTGGATACGGTATGTGTTCACCATTATTTGTGTATCTGAGTAGAGGATACTTCATATTATATAATCCATTACAATTGAGAGAATAAATTATAATAAATATATAATTAGAGTGTTGTTGTTGTTAGTTGTGAAGTTGTGTCCGACCCATCGCGACCCCAGGGTCAACATTCCTCCAGGTCTTCCTGTCCTCTACCATCTTCTGGTGTCCTTTTAAGCTCAGGCCTACTGCTTCAGTGACTCCATCCAGCCACCTCATTCTCTGTTGTCCCCTTCTTCTCTTGCCCTTCATCTTTCCCAGCATCAGGCTCTTCTCCAGTGAGTCCTTCCTTCTCATTAGGTGGCCAAAGTACTTGAGTTTCAACTTCAGGATCTGGCCTTCCAAAGAACAGTCGGGGTTGATCTCTTCTAGGACTGACCGGTTTGATCGCCTTGCAGTCCAAGGGACTCGCAGGACTCTTCTCCAGCACCATAGTTCAAAGGCCTCAATTCTTTGGCGCTCAGCCTTTATTATAGTCCAACTTTCACAGCCGTAAATTGCAACTGGGAAAACCATGGCCTTGACTATACACACTTTTGTTGGCAGGGTGATGTTTCTGCTTTTTAGTATGCTGTCTAGATTTGCCATAGCTTTCCTCCCCAGGAGCAAGCGTCTTTTAATTTCTTGGCTGCAGTCCCCATCTGTGGTAATCTTGGAGTAAATAACTGTATATTAAAAAGTAAGATATAAATATTCTAATTGTAATGACATATATACACCTCACAAATATTTTAGATATCCTTTCCAGAATCACTAGTGAAGACTATTTTGTAATAATTTGCTGTTTATTATCTTGATGGATTATCTGCCATCAAGTCTAAAGACCTCATGGTTGCATAAATAGATTAAGTAATGCTTAAATAAAAATTGTTGTCTTTAAATAATCAAATTCTTACAAATATAGTGATATTCACCATAATATTGAAGTAGTTAAATCAAATCCCTTGACAATATTATGGAGGTATAGCTAAAGTCGGGGAAAATTTACTGATTTGTTAATAATAATAATAATAGTAGTAAAGTTGGAAGGGACCTTGGAGGTCATCTAGTCCAACCCCCTGCTCAGGCAGGAAACCCTACACCAGTGGTTCTCAACCTTTTTAATGCCGCGACTCCCAACCGGTCGTAAGTCGAGGACTACTCAACCGGTCGTAAGTCGAGGACTACTCAACTGGTGCAGTACCGTTTGCAGAATGGGACTTTTGGCGGGCTCAGCAGGGCAGAGACAGCCTGGACAATTCCTATCGGCTTTTGAAAGCCAATAGAATTAGACTCTATTCAAGAGAGTCTATTCTATTGGCTTTCAAAAGCCAATAGAATAAAAGGGAGTAGCACAGCTAAGGAAAAGGGGAAAAAAATAGCGGACTGCGTTGTTTGGTGACCCCCGTGAAATGGTCGTTCGACCTCAAATGGGATCCCAACCCACAGGTTGAGAACCACTGCTCTACACCATTTTGGACAAATGAACATTGCTCCTAGAAGCACGAAGCCGAAAACACCAGCCCGAAGATGAAGAATGGGACTTCGTCGAAACGTCACCAAGACACTTCCAATTTTATGCGGGAGAAAACCCGAATAACCAAATACCTAAATATATCAATATATATATAAAAACACACACATACATGAAGGTATTTTTAATATTTTTTTTAATTTAAAAAAACCTGATGCAAGTAAAAAAATAATTTCACTGTGATATTCATAATTTACAGAAAGACAACGATAATTTCAAATCTCTTGGTGGACAGAGAAAAACTTGACCACGAGAACAAGGAACTTCTGAGAATATGTGGTGAAAAACAGCGATTCTGTGAACATGTTGAGAAAGAGCTGAGCAGGTGAGAAATTTTTAGATAGCAACCCTATTTTCCTATTAAATTCTCTTTAGCTCTCTCCCCTGGATATACATTATACACTGTTTTGTGTTCAATTCCATTACCTAGATCAGGGGTAGGCAACCCAAAACACTTAAAGAGCCACTTGGACCCGTTTCCCACCAAAAACAAAACACTGGGAGCCGCAAAACCATTTTGATATCTAAAATCAAGATAACACTGCATATATCCTTTTTTACCTTTATTATAGGTGTGTGTGTGTTTGTGTGTGTGTGTTTGTGTGTGTGTATGTATGTATGTGTGTGTGTGTATATATATATGTATATGTATGTGTATATATATATATATATATACACACACACACACACACACACACACACACACACACACAGGTAAAAAAAGGATATATGCAGTGTTATCTTCATTTTAGATGTCAAAAGGGTCTCTCTCTCTCTCTCTCTCTCTCTCTCTATCTGCCCTTGGTCTGCCACTCCTCTTCCCCCGCTCTCTTTCTTTCTCTCTCTCTCTCTCTCCCCCTCTCTCTCTTTCTCTCTCTCTCTTTCTCTCCCCCCCTCTCCTATCTGCTGCTCACCTAACAAGCTTCAGGCTGTTGTCCAACAAGATCAGGGGTAGGCAACCTCGTCTCTTTTATGACTCATGGACTTCAACTCCCAGAATTCCTGAGTCAGCCTAGCTGGGCTAGCTAGCTCTCTCCTGCCCTTCCTGCTTCCTGCAGAGATGCAGCAAAGGGAAGAGCTCCGCCCAGTAAGCTTTTCAGCTCCTCGGAGAACACTGTGAGTGCACTCTCTTTTTTTTTATACACACACACACACACACAGAGAGAGAGAGAGAGAGAGAGAGAGAGAGAGAGAGAGAGAGAGAAGCAGGGAAGCGCAATTCCTCTCTCTGTCTCTGTCTCTCTCTGCAAAGGCAGAGGAGGCTGGGAGCCGCAGGGGAAGGCCCAAAGAGCCGCATGCGGCTCCGGAGCCGCAGGTTGCCGACCTGTGACCTAGATGGAACAACGTTGGGGGAAGTGAGAGGTATTTTTATTTTAAAAAAGTTTTTATTTTCCATTTATTCATATAAAATACTATTAAATTCCTAACCATTGGTACCACCTGCCCATTCCCCCCAGGCTGCGTCCACCCTCTCTAATCCTTCCCCACTTCCCTCCTCTTTCTCTCCCCCCCTCCTACTCTCTTCCCCTCCCCTTCTCCTCTAACCATCCTACTTCCTCCGTACTTCTTCCTCCCCTCTCATCCCTTTCACACACATGAATGCAGCATAGGGTAATGTTAATTGTTTTTAACTTAAAAAAAATTAAACAAGTTTGATTATTCAAGGGGGAAAAAAAACCCAAGGGGGCTAATTTCAGCCTGGTCATGCTATTTTGCAGACAGCAGAGTTTAATTTGTGACCTGTTGTCAGACAGAGATAAGCTCCAATTTGAGAACAAGGAGCTTGTACGAATCGATCTCAAACTGCGAGGAGAGAAACAACAACTCTGTGAATATTTTGACGAAAAACTAAGCAGGTGAGAAATGTTTTGATAGCAAATGTGACCTTCCAGAATTTCAATTACATTCTATTTAGCTCCCTCACCTGAGCATATATCATATAATCTTCTGGGTTGAATTCCATTGCCTGGAACAACTACTGGAGGGAAATAAGAGGTGTTTTTAAATAAATGATTTAAACTTCCATTTCATTCCTTCCATAGATCACTGGGGGGAAAACAGACACGATTCCCAGTGGATCTGCAAGCTGCAAAATTGTGGGTCATCTTTGTATGTGGTCTGGGGGTTGCTCTCGTCTCCTCCCTCATAATAATTCTCTCGTTAGAGACCTTCATTTTAGGACCACTGGCCAAATCAGACAAGCTACACAGCCTTATTCTTATTGTATTGTTGAAAGAAAAATTTTCAGGGTCCAATCCAAGCTGGGAATAAACAAAATGGAGACTGCTTTAGAAAGAAGATTCTAGTTTACTGAGTTGCAGAACCCCTCAGAAGTGTGGTTCTGGAGCAGCTGACCACATGGAGTTGGGAGTTGTGGGTTTTTATACCTTCTTGGGCTTTTGTGTTTGAGATTCTTCCTGTTCCTGTGGCATGAACATTGACCTGAGCTTTTGAGTGTGCCCTTTTGGTATTCTGATAGTGTTGGGTTAATCCTATTATATCCTAAAGGTCATGTCCTGCTTCTTTGGGGCTGTGGCTGGTGGCTATGACCTGTGTTGGATTTTTGGGTGAGGGATTGCTGGTTCTAATCCTATCACTCTGCTGTTGTTAGCTATCAAATCTTGCTTCAAGGGATTTCGAAAGATCCTGTCTTAAATGGGCTTCTGCCTGGTAGTATTTGTTCATGAATGGGGACTCAGATTTTCTGAATGGGATTATCAAATCTGCATTTTTACGGAGTTGGCCTCTGCCTGTGGCTATTAAAAAAACTAGGCCTGCTTTTCTGCCTTTAAGATCCTTTGGGGAAATATAATATTCTGCCTTTTTAATATTCTCAAAATATTTCTTTCTCTGGGGGGGGGCTGCTGTCTTCCCACACTATAAATATCTATAATTCTGTAAAATAAAAAAAGTCTAAAAGACTCCAAAAAGTTAGTTTGTATAATGATATTGTTATCATTGTGCCTATGCATAAACTTATTTAGTAACATTAATAGGTTTGTGTACAGTTAAAATCAAATTCTCTTATGAATATATAGCTAAAATGACAATGGATGTTTTAGGTTAGTGGTGGCGAACCTGTGGCATGGGTGCCAGAGGCGGCACTCAGAGCCCTCTCTGTGAGCCCGCGCGCCATAGCCCCAGTCCTAGGCCTTCAGCTGGGTTGTATAAAACCTTTTCAGTTTAGGCCTCTGCCGCCTTGTGCAAAACAAAAAAAAGGTTCAATCAGTCAATTCCAATTTCTCATGGGAAAAAAAAAGATCTTGCAAAGTTGGAATTGATTGATTGAACTTTTTAGTCCCACCAAGTCTGCCATTACCACTGCAGCCACGCCCACCCAATGGGCCACGCCCACCCAATGGGCCACGCCCACCCAATGGGCCACACCCATCCGGCACTCAACGATGCATAAGTGGGTTTTGGGTTGCAGTTTGGGCACTCAGTCTCTAAAAGGTTTGCCATCACTGTTTTAGGTCAATGTCACATTCTTATTTGCTGAATGCTACACAGAACACTCTTCAACGATTGATCAAATATTGAAAGTTTTCCTGTCCCATGCAGAGAAGGTTGCTGGATTCCACTTGAAACAGGCAGCATAAACTCAATAGACAAGTCATACAAAATTACTTTTGTTCCAGGCATCCTCAAGACATTAACTCATAGTTATTGTAGAAGTTCTTCAAGAATGTAGGTTGTAATCTGGACCCATCTCATAGGTAAAGGAATAATGGATTTCCCCATTCTACGTAAATCTCACATGCTGATATGGAGCTCCTAGCCTAGTCACGAGGCTAGGATTCATGCAGAGAGATAATAAAACCTGGCACGTAACAGGATATCTGGTAATAAATCACAAGAATCTCCCAATGGCCAATTAGAACACAGATATAACCAGGTAACAACTAAACTACATTTCCCAGAAGTCCATCTCTTAAGGAGACAGCTTTTTAACCCTTAAAATGCTCTTGCTCTACACACAGTTTTCTAAGCTAGCTATACGCTCTGGCCAGATGGTTACACACTGGTCCAGCACAAATGTAATATTCCTCTTCCACATGAAAAGTAGAAGAGAAAAAAAATAATTATGGTTCATTACCATTGTAATATGTTATCTGCATAATTAGGAGTAAGTCTCACGGGACTGAATGGGATTTTTCAAAAGATATGTATAGGATAGGTCCGTGGTGACGAACCTATGGCACGTGTGCCACAGGTGGCACGCAGAGCCCTCACTGTGGGCACGCGTGTCGTCGCCCCAGTCCTAGCCTTCAGCTAGGTTTTATACAATCTTTTCGCTTTAGGCTTCTGCCACATGTGCAAAAAAAAAAAAAAAAGGTTCAATTAATCCATCAATTTCAACTTCTCGCGGGATCTCGCAAGTTGGAATTGATTGATTGAACTTTTTAGTCCCACCAAGTCTGCCATTACCATCGCAGCCACGCCCACCCAATGGGCCACACCCACTCAATGGGCCATGCCCACCCTGCACCCGATGATACATAAGTGGGTTTTGGGTTGCAGTTTGGGCACTCGGTCTCTAAAAGGTTCGCCATCACTGGGATAGGTCTTTTAAACTCCCCACTTTCTCCGCTGCTCTCCCCCCCCCAAAATGTGCTTTTGGAGTAAGACTTTCCTGACAACAAGCAGTTCTCATTATAGTTTGCTAAGAATATTTTGTTGATGATGCAGCTGCCCATCTAAACTTCTGATTTTTCTAGAGAGAGAAAACTGAGAAACGACTGCTCTAGGACATTGTTGTGCAGAGATGAGTTAATATCACTTTTGTGTAGAGAGCACAAAACATGCTGTGTGAGTATCTGGCAAACAAGTGCAGAAGTTACAAAGCCAGAAGATAAGAAAGAAAGTCTGGAAAAGCTGAAACCTCAATTCCTGGAAAACACGCTAAAGAAGGGCTGGCTTAAAGCTTCTCTAGAAAACCTGAAAGCCAAAAAGTCCAAAGAATCCAGAGAAAACACACTGGGGTGGCTTCAGGAATCTCTGAAAAACCTAAAAGAGGTTTCTGATAAAGCATCAAGACGCAGCCTGGCAGAATGGCTTAAAGGATCTCTGATAAATCTTCAGAAGGAATCTCCTGAAGCATCCAAGGAAGATGTGAGCGATTGGCTGGAGATGTCCATAAATCAACTTCAGGAAGAAGGTCCAGAAACATCCCATATGAACGTGCAGGAATGGCTTGAGGCGTCCATTCAAGGCATTCAGGATCTAAAAACGTCCGAGACAGAGCCTCGAAGCAGTCTAAGAAAGGGATGGCTTGAAAGATCAATAGAGAACCTCAAGAAGTTGCATTCTGAAGGACCTGTGGAGAACACACTGAAATGGCTTCAAGGATCCTTAGAAAGACTCTTATCTTCTAGTGAAGCTAGGCCAGTTCTCGAAGAATGGCTACAAGATTCCTTGAGAAGCCTGGAAGAGGAAAGTTCTGAAGTGGACAATCAAGATGTCAAAGAATGGCTTCAAACAACGATAAATAATCTTGAAGACGAAGGACCTGGAGCAACTTATCTAGGTATTCAGGAATGGCTGGAAGCATCTATTAAGGGCATCCAGGATTTGAACGAAGAATCTATTAAGGGCATCCAGGATTTAAACATAGCAAGAAGAGAAAGTGCGGAAGAGAGCAGGGAGAGAGTGATTAGGGTAGACCTTGCCTCCTCTGAACGAAGCTTAAGTAATGAATGGCTCCAAGACTCTTTAGAAAGCTCCAGAGAGCTGGGGTCAACTGCATCCAGAACAGGGTTGCAAGGATGGCTACGAGCATCTTTGAGAAAACTCAGACGAGAATCCCCAGAGGGAGCCAGGAACAGTCTGGAGGAATGGCTTCAGGAATCCATACAAAATATCCAGGAAGGATGTCCTGAGGAATTCAGGCAACCTGTGAAGGAGTGGCTTGGGAGATCCCTAAATCACTTTCAAGAGGGAGGGCCTGGAGCATCCCATCTGAGCGTGGAGGAATGGTTGGAAGCATCCATCCAAGGTCTGCAGGAGGAAAGATTTAAAGAGATGACAGGAAGAACAGATCCTGAAAAGTGGAGGAGAAAATTCGTTTCCCAAGGAATTCCTTCCCAAGAAAAACAGGTATATGAAGAGCATAAATGCTTAATAGATGATATTTAATGTAACATAAATATTTACTATCAGTGGGTGGACTATTTAATACTCAAAAATGAGGAACAAGAATCCCTGATTTACAGGTAATCCTCGACTTAACAACCATAATTGAGCCCGACATTTCTGTTGCTAAGGGAAACGTTTCTTGTGAATTTGCCCCATTTTACAACCTTTCTTTCCACTGTTATTAAGCGAATCCCTGCAGTTGTTAAGTTTATAACAGTTTTAAGTGAACCTGGTTTCCCCATTGACTTTGCTTATAAGATTGCAAAAGGGGATCACGTGATCCCAGGACAATGCAACTGTCATAAATGTGAGTCAGTGGCCAAGCATCCAAATTTTGATCACGTGGCCACAGGGATGCTGTAACGAGAAAAGCAATCATAAGTCACTTTTTTTCAGTGCAGTTGTAACTCTAAACAGTTGCTAAATGAATACACTACCTGTATTCCTCACCAGAGGTCTCAGTATAAATGCTGCATCTTTCTCTTTCAAACCTTGAACTCATGAGGCCTGTCAGGGTGGGAAACCTTTCATTTAGGAAGAGCAGTTTCTCTTTTTGTTAGGAGTGGTAGGAATGTTGGAAACACCAGCTTCAGATGCCTCCATTTGGCTACTGGGAAGCTTTATCTCTCAGCAAAGAAAGCCTGTAAAGGACATTGTGAATCTGTTCTGTCCCAGCCTACGTACGTCCTTGTTACTTCACAAAGACAACCCCTCGTTTAACAGTAGACTGGAAAATAAACCCTTTTATTTGAAACAGACTGATAATTTGCCCAGAAAACAAAAGCAACAGAACACTTTTCCAATGGAGACCTTGTCCAAAAGCAAAACGGAGCACGAGTCAAACAGGAAATAACTCACAGACAAAATAAACAGACCATGATCTCTTGACTCTGAAGTTCTTTGCAAACAGTTATCTCCAGCAACCAGCCCTGCCTACACATTTCCTTTTTGTTACGCAGCCCCCAAGGCATGGCTTCTCACTGCTTTCTCCTTCTCCTCCCCTGGAGTCGCCCCATTGCCTCCCTCTATCCTACTCGTGTGATCTGTCTACATTTACGAGCATCTCTGAGGTCTTGCAGCTGTGCTTCCTCCGAGTCCGACTCAGCTTCCCAGCACAGCTGGCTCTCAGCTTGATCACGAGAGGAAGGATCAGCCTGTTCATTAGTTTGTAAGTCCTGCAGCTCATCAGAGCCTCCCTCTGACTCTGATGCTCTCCAGACCTCTCCTCCTCCTCTGATTCTCCAGACTCAACTACTGGGATCACAGCCTGGCACAGAATCACAACAGAATCTCTCTCTATGCCAGAGAGTCACAGTTGTTGCCCCACAGCTGATCATTTAGATCGGCCTTTGTCAAACGGGATTGTACAAGAGGCCAATAGGGCAGGGGTCCCCAACCCCTGTCCGTGGACTGGTACCGGGCCATGGCATGCCAGCAACCAGTCCGCACAAACAAGCAAAGCCCCATCTGTGGGATGCAGGTAGCACACAAAACCACACACTCTCCGGTCCATAGAAAAACCTTTCTCCATGGAATCGGTCCCTAGTGCCCAAAAGGCTGGAGATCTCTGCGCTAGGCATTTCATGAGAGTTCATAAACATATATGATTTTTTAACTTTGCGCACTTTGCAATGCCAATTGTAGATATAATATTTTTAGAGAGGGTTTCCCAATGAAGTATCTCTCAGGAAATAGACTCTGTAAAGGACTTGAATATTGTTTCAATGATTTTTCCAGGTAAAAAGGTTGAAAAAGGCTGATTTAGAAAGAGAGAGAGAAAAAAAAGTGGGGATAAATTCAACTACTATTGTTGATCTTAAGATAAAAACAGTTTGAATGTAGAGACTTAATAATACAAAAATGTATCTGAGGAATTTGAAGTAAAACAGGTCATTTTGCTAATCAGTATAATCTAGCATTTCTTTTTTAAAGTCTTGCATTTCAGAGAATAATGCTATTTGTATATAACTTGCATATTGCTTTTACCTGGGAAGATTCACAAAAATTGCAAAAAATATTGGACATTGTAGAAGGAGAGCTGTACTGGGAGTCAGGAATAAGCTTTTCTGAAGAACACATTTAAAAAAATTCAGCCTTTTAATAACATTTGCTAGCTGGAAAATGTGATACCAGATTGTTTTTTTAAAAAGAAAATTTATCTGAAAAAATGAATTGGGTAGCAGGTGATCTGGAGACTGATAAGCAAAACCTGAGAAATTAAATTATTTGTTACGATCCTGCAGTTTAGGCCATGAGTTTACAATCAATATAATTATTAATGTAAAATATGCACCTTGAAATATATTCATATATAGTTTGCTTTGTTATTTCCCTATCGTGTCTTCCAGGTTGTCAGGAAGATCCTAGGAAAGGAGACCTCCCGGTACAGGTATGTCTTTTTTTTTTTTTTTAAAAGATTTTATTAAGTTTTATAGGGTTGGGGATAAAATAGGATCGGGATAGGGATTAAGGTTTAGGGTAGGGCATGGGTAGGCCACCTTGGCTCTTTTATGACTTGTGGACTTCACTCCCAGAATTCCTGAGCCAGCCATACTGAGGGGAAAGGGAGAGGTTTCCAAGCTGAGCCATGCTGGCTGAGGAATTCTGGAAGTTGAAGTCCATGAGTCATAAAAGAGCCAAGGTGCCCTACCCCTGGGGTAGGGTTAGGATCAGGATTGGGATTAGGACAGGGTTGGGATCAACATTGAAGTTATCCCCCAATAACATTTTCAATCTTTAGCAAACAGACTATTGTCTGGGTACGTATGTTAAGTTAACAATAATTGATACAGTGGTAAATAGCTATAGTAAATATGATAAACGATAATCATAAACAGTATCAGTTGGTCAACGCATATCATTCTTCTTACTAATATATATTCAAAATAACATATCACATTCATTTCTCGCTAGTTCGTTTTCCTAACCATTGGTAAAAATTATCCCATGTTTTAAAGTAAACTGAATCTTCATTCTCTTTAATCTCTGAAGTCAATCTATCCATTTCTGCACATTCTAAGATTTTCTTAATTAAAACCTCTTGTTGGTAAGTTTTCATTTTTCCAGTATTGGGCAAATACTATTCTCGCTGCTGTCAGTACATGCAATATTAAATATTCATTCTCCTCATAATTGGATTCTAATATTCCTAACAAAAACAGTTCTGGTTTAAATTCTATCTGTCTTTTGATCATCTTTTCCAACCATGTATGTATCTTAGCCCAAACCCTTTTTGCTTTAGGGCATATCCACCAGATATGATAGTAAGTACCTGGCCTTTGTTTGCATTTCCAGCAATTGTTCGAAGTATTTTTAAACATTTTTGCTAATCTTACTGGTGTCATATGCCATCTACAAAACATTTTATACAGATTTTCCTTATATGGGACTGCTTTAGTCAATTTAATATTTCCATCCCATAATTTTTGCCAGTCTTCCAAATCTATAGAATATCCGAAGTTTTTTGCCCATGCTATCATTGTTTCTTTTACTTGTTCTTCTTCCATCTTCAAGTTTAGCAGAAATCTATAAAGTTTCTTAATCAAATTTTCATCTTTTTAACAATATTTGATCGAATTCTATCTGTTCTTTATAAAATCCTGTTGTCTTTACATCTTTTTCATATTTCATTTGAATTTGCAAATATGGCCACTATGCTAAGTCAATACCTTGTTGTTGTAAATCTTGTATATCTTTCAATTTTCCTTCATTATCCAAGATATATTTATACGTCACGATTTTGTCATAGTTAATTAAATTTGGGTAAGCAAAAGCTTCCATTGTTGAAAACCATTCAGGTAGTTTAATATAATTTTTTTCCTTTATTCTTTCCCATTCTAAAAGAAGTACATTTCTTATAAAGTGATTTTGAAAGTATCTATGTGTTTTATTTTTCCTGTACATAGGAAGGCATGTCAGCCAGTTTGTAGGTCATGCCCCTCTAGGTACAATAGTCTTTTATTTCTCATCCATTCTTTAAGCCACGGTAGGATAGCTGCTTGATAATATATTCTCCAGTCCGGGAGTCCAAATCCTCCACTATCTTTAGCTTCTTGTAGCATTTTTACTTTAATTCATGCTTTCTTCCCTTGCCAAATAAATCTCAGTATTGTATCATCAAAAAAGACCTTTCCCAATTTTACAGGAATCGTTTGGAATAAGAAGAATGTTTTTGGTAAAATATTCATTTTCACTGTAGGTATTCTTCCTAACAATGACAGTTGAAGATTTTTACACTTTCCAAATCCAATGTTATTTGTTTTATTTATTTATTTATTTATTTATTTATTTATTTATGAGACTTATATACCACTTTAAGTGCAAGCACTCTCTAAGCGGTGTACACCAGTAAGCAATGTATATATATATTTACATTGCCCCCAACAATCTGGGTCCTCATTTTACATACCCCGGAAGGATGGAAGGCTGAGTCAACCTTGAGCCGGTGAGATTTGAACCGCTGACCTGCTGAACACAGTCAGCTAAAGTGGCCTGCAATACTGCACTCTAACTGCTGCGCCACCTCGGCTCTTTCATAGTTGTCTTCTTTTAATGTTATACATCTTGTTGTTAAGTAGATTCCTAGGTACTTAACTTTTTTTAACTATTTACAAGTTTGTCTTTTTTGTAAGTTGACTTTTCTGTTTATCTGTTAAGTTCTTTGTTAATACTTTAGTCTTTTCTCTATTTATTTTCAGGCCTGCCACTTCTCCAAACTTTTCTATTTTCCCCAACAGTTTGGTAGTTGTTCCAAGTGGCTCCTCCCGATGCAGGTATGTCTTATTCTAATCCAGTGGTTCTCAACCTGTGGGTCGGGACCCCATTTGGGGTCGAATGACCATTTCACGGGGGTCACCAAACCATGCTGTCCGCCATTTTTTCCCTTTTTTCCTAGCTGTCCTACTCCCTCTTATGGGTGGCCACACCCACTTGGGGGTCACCACAACATGGGGAACTGTATTATGGGGTCACGGCATTAGAGAGGTTGAGAATCACTGTTCTAATCAATATAGCCCATAATCAGATAGATTTAATTTGCCTGATTTGAGTATCCTTCCCTTCCCTCTAAACATTTTGTAAATGATACTATCCTTTAAAACAGTGGTTCTCAACCTGTGAATTGGTACCCCATTTGGGGTCGAACGACCATTTCACGGGGGTCGCCAAACGCAGTCCGCCATTCCCCCCCCTCTTTTCCTTAGCTGTGCTACTCCCTTTTATTCTATTGGCTTTTGAAAGCCAGTAGAATAGACTCTCTTGAATAGAGTCTAATTCTACTGGCTTTCAAAAGCCAATAGGAATTGTCCAGGCTGTCTCTGCCCTGCTGAGCCCGCCAAAAGTCCCATTCTGCAAACGGTGCTGTACCAGTTGAGTAGTCCTCGACTGACGACCGGTGCCTCTTTAAATTTGTGGAATGGGAAGGAAACAAGGAAGCAAAGACATGGAGGAAAAAGGAGAGGAGAGGGAGGGAGGGAGGAAGGAAGGGAGGATGGGAGGAAGGAAAGGGAGGAGGGGAGGGAGTGAGGGAGGAGGAATGGAGAACGGAAGGGAGGGAGGGAAGGAAGGAAGGGGAGGAGGAATGGAGAAAGAAAGGGAGAGAGGGAAGGGAGGGAGGGAGGAAGGAAGGGGAGAAGGGGGAGTGAGGGAGGAGGAATGGAGAAAACGGGAGAAAGGAAGGGAGGGAGGGAAGGAAGGAAGGGGAAGAGGAATGAAGAAAGAAAGGGAGAGGGAAGGAAGGGAGGGAGTGAGGATGGAAGGGGAGGAGGAATGGAGAAAGGGAGGGAGGGAGGGAAGGAAGGAAGGAAGGGGAGGAGGAATGGAGAAAGAAAGGGAGAGAGGGAAGGAAGGGAGGGAGGAAGGAAGGGGAGGAGGAGGGAGTGAGGGAGGAGGAATGGGGAAAGAAAGGGAGAGAGGGAGGGAAGGAAGGGAAGAGGAATGGAGAAAGGAAGGGAGAGAGGGAAGGGAGGGAGGAAGGAAGGAGAGGAGGAGGAATGGAGAAAGAAAGGGAGAGAGGGAGGGAAGGAAGGAAGGGAGGAGGAATGGAGAAAGGAAGGGAGAGAGGGAAGGGAGGGAGGAAGGAAGGAGAGGAGGAGGAGGGAGGGAGGAGGAATGGAGAAAGGAAGGGAGAGAGGGAGGGAAGGAAGGAAGGAAGGAAAGAAGGGGCCAAAGAATGAGCAAGATCTACCCCAAAATGCCAAGTACAGATAGACAAAGGATAGACCAAAATTGGATGCAACCCATGTCACCTGTGATAGCCTAGTCATAGAGAGCAGAACTCACTAGGAACAAAGAGATGTTTGTGAACTAGGAATTAGGTGAATGGCAGTTGGATGGCTGAGTGCAGGAAGATAACCATCAAAGTTAAATAGTCATCACTGTTAGCTTATCAAGTAGTCTCAAGCAAAGTGAGATCTCAGACAAGCTGCCACCAAATACAGTGGTATCTTAGTTCTTGTCATTAATGGGTTCCGTGAGGCACAACTAGTATTAAAAATGACAAGTACCAATAATGTGACTAATGCGTCAAACTTTGTTTTGGGTTGTGAGTCACAAGACAGCTGACATTGATATGTTCTAGCTTGCATGTCATGTAGCAAGCAAATGAGTACCGTAGGAAAATTTATACATTAACAATGCATTGAGTAACAAATTCTATGAGTTTTTAAGCAGTCGAGTAGCAAGGTAGGACTGTATCTGGCTGAAGGAATGGATTTGGGATTAGTTTAAAAACTCGACCAGTAATCACTGACAAAATTAGTGACTGTTTGAAGCGGTGAATGCTCCAACACTGGAAGTTTTTAAGAAGAGATTGGACAGCCATTTGTCCGAAATGGTATAGGGTTACTCAGTGCTTTTTTTTGTAAAAAAAAAAAAAAAAAGGTGCCAGAACTCACACGTTATACAACCCGCCTTGCCTACCCTACAAGGTTCCATTCTGGGTGTTCTATGACAAAAAAAGCCCTGGGGTTACCGGCTTGAGCAGGGGGTTGGACTTGATGACCTCTACGGTCCCTTCCAACTTTATTATTATTATTATTATTACGGATCATCACATAGCCAGATGTTCAGATGGGATTTGGCATTTTGTCTACCTATCGAGTCCTTACCCAGGACCTGGGATAGGCAGATGTGGATGTTTGATGGTATTACATGCATCGTCACATTATTATTATTATCGATCATCGCACAGTCAGCCAGATGTTCAGACTGGATTTGGCATTTTGTCTACCCATCGAGTCCTTACCCAGGACCTGGGATAGGCAGATGTGGATGTTTGATGGTATTACAGATATCGTCGCAGGATGGAAGCAGTTCCTAATAAGGCCGCCTTTTGCAATTGACTAATAGCGAATTTGTCAATGCCAATGGTGTTCAAGTGGTGCTCCAGTTGTTTTGGGATTGCACCCAAGGAGCCTATGACTATTGGTACTACCCTTGCTTGCTTTTGCCACAGTCTTTCTATTTCTATTTGTAGGTCTTTGTATTTTGTTATCTTCTCCAGTTCTTTCTCTTCTATTCTGCTATCTCCAGGCACTGCCACGTCCACTATCCAGACTTTTTTGTCTTTCTTATCGACAATTGTTAAGTCTGGGGTGTTATGTTGCAGGTGCTTGTCTGTTTGAATTCTGAAGTCCCAGAGCAGTTTAATTTTATCATTTTCTATAACTTTCTCTATTTTATGATCCCACCAGTTTTTGCTTACAGGCAAATGATATTTTTTGCAGATCTTCCAATGCACCATTGTTGCTACTTTGTCATGCCGCTGCTTGTAATCAGTTTGTGCAATCTTCTTGCAACAGCTTACCAAGTGGTCCACTGTTTCTTCAGCTTCTTTGCATAGGCGGCACTTACTGTCTGTTGCTGTCTTCTCAATTTTGACTTTGTATGCATTTGTCCTTAAGGCTTGGTCTTGTGCAGCCAGAATTAGTCCCTCGGTCTCTTTCTTCAATTTTCCTGCTCTTAGCCATTGCCAGGTTTTATTATTATCTGCTTTCCCAGCTATTTTTTTCATGTATTGGCCATGTAGTGCTTTGTCTTCCCATGCCTCTATTCTGTTCTTCATTTGGTCTTTCTTGTAGGCCAGTTTGGTCTCTCCAGTAGTTAGTAAGCCTTCCTGATATACTAATTTCAGTGCATCTTCATCATTGTTCTTCAGATATTCTTCCAAAGCCATTTTTTCTTCTTCAACCATCTGATGTACTTGTAGCATTCCACGCCCACCTATTTGCCTTGGTAGATAAAGTCTATCAATGTCACTGCGTGGATGAAGGGCATGATTCATTGTCATTATTTTTCTGGTCTGCCTATCCATTGCTTTTAGTTCTGCTTGAGTCCAGTCCACTATTCCAGCTGTGTACCTAATGACTGGGATTGCCCAGGTGTTGATTGCCTTTATGGTATTTCCTCCATTGAGTTTGGATTTTAAGATCTTCTTCACTCTCTTGATGTATTCACCTCTAATCTTTTTCTTGACTTCAGTGTGCTTGATGTTGTCAGTTTGAAGGATACCCAAGTATTTGTAGTACTCTTCCTCATCCAGACTCTTAATGTTATTTTCGTGGGGCATCTTGATTCCTTCAGTTTTCATTATTTTTCCTTGTTTGATAGTAAGTGTGGCACATTTGTCCAAGCCAAACTCCATTACAATATCTTGGCTATATATACGGACAGTGTTGAGCAGCGATTCTATTTCAGATGATGTTTTTCCATACAGCTTCAGATCATCCATATAAAGGAGGTGGGATAGTCTGGCAGATGTTTTTGATGTTTGATAGCCATGTCCTGAGTTATTCAGTATTGTTGACAGAGGAAACAGTGCAATAACAAATAGTAATGGTGATAATGAATCTCCTTGAAATATTCCTCTCTTGATATTTACCTCTCCCAGCCTCTCACCATTGATCTGCAACTGTGTCTTCCATTGTGCCATCGATCTTTGCACAAATTTTCTGATGTTTCTACTGACTCCTGTTATTTCTAGGCACTTTATTATCCAATCATGTGGCAGAGAGTCAAATGCCTTTTTGTAGTCAATCCATGCAACATTCAGGTTGGTCTTCCTTCTCTTGCAGTTTTCCAAGATCATTTTGTCTATTAGGAGTTGATCTTTTGTTCCTCTGCTGTTTGGGCGGTTTCCTTTCTGCTCAGGTGGAAAGAGATTGTTTTCAACTAGATGCTGTTGCACTGCATCAGCTACTACACCAGTTAGTAATTTGAAAGTTGTTGGTAAGCAGGTAATTGGCCTGTAGTTACCTGGTGTTGCCCCTTTTGCTGGATTTTTCATTATTAGGTAGGTTTTCCCAGTTGTTAGCCACTTTTCAATTTCTCCGCCTTGTAGTATATTGTTGAACTGCTTGGCAATGAGTGGGTGTATAACAGTTAGATGTTTCAACCAAAACCCATGCAGTTCATCTTCACCTGGTGCTGACCAATTTTTGATTTTCTTTGCTCTTTTTTCTACCATTTTTGTTGTTATTACTAGTTCTTTCATTTCAACTTCTGTTTTATTTGCATCCACCTCTTTTAACCAAGCCGCATCCTTGTTGTATTTCTTTGGGTTATCCCATATCTGCTTCCAGAACTGCACTGTTTCTTCCTTGTCAGGTACTGACTGATTCTTTGCAGTTTCTCCATTGATGGATTGGTAGAAACGTTTCTGATTGGATTGAAATTGGAGGTTCTGCCTATAGTTTGCAATTCGAGCTTCATATCTACTGATTTTCCTGGCTATAGCTGTTATTTGTTGCTTTATTATTTCCAGTGCTTCCTTGATCTTCCTTGTTTCTAAGTGGTATTTCTTGATTAGGTATTCTTTGGTCTTCTTGTTCTTCAGCTTCTTTTCTTTCATCTGTTCTAGCTTGCTTGCATGTGATCTTAACTTGCTGATCTTATTTTCTAGTCTAACCTTCCATTTTTCTGGTGCACTGTTTGTTTGTTTTTCTTCTTTGTTGATTTTGCATCCCAGGTATTCTGTTATAACTGCAGCTGTGCTGTACATTAGTGGTTTGTTTCTTGCAATGAATTGGTGCTTATACTTGATATTGCAATATTTGCATCTTTTAATGCTTGTGCTAGCTGTTTCTTTGGAACAAGCTTCAATGCAGAGCCTTATTCTGTTGTTTTTGTGCTGTTCTAGATGCTCAGTTATTCTTTGTTTCAATTCTTTTATTTCTTTAGTTAGAGGGTTTTGTTCTTCCTGAGGAAGAGGTGCCTGGTTTCCAAATGAGAACAGTTGTATATCTCTGCTGGATTCCTTCACTGCCAACTCCCCCTGGTTTGCCTCTACATTCTGAATTACTTCTTGTAAGGCTTTGATTTCTTTGCCCTGGGTAAACCTTTGCAGTTCGTCCAATTCTGTTTCTGTGAATATTTTATTTCGTGTTATAAATCGGCGTTGATCTGCTAGTCTCTGTTCTGTTATTTCTGATTCTGGATGTTGTTCTTTCCAGAACTGGTGCATTCGTTTTAGATATCCTCTTCTTGTTGGACTTGATCTGTAGTAACAGATCATTATTTCTTTGTTTTCCATCACTGTGTATCTGCGACGGGTAAACACCTTTTCTTCCAGTAGTTCTGCAGCTGCTGGCCCTGGTTGCTCAGCCAACAGTCCTGAGTCCTGTAACCCATTTTTCACCAGATATCCAGGAACTCCAATATCTAGTGCGGACCTTGTTAACCCGGGCGACGTCCGAGCCGGTATGGCATTCTGAAATTTACGTCTCACCATATTTTTTATGGGAGAGACACTCTTTGTCTGACTCCTCTGATGAGACCTGTCCAGTATGGTTGAACCTCTGGCATAGCTCTCATCTTCCTCAGAGTGCACAAGCCCCACAACCACGTCAAGGTAGTGCCTCACTGGGGGTCAAGGTAGTGCCTCACTGGGGGTTATTATTATTATTATTATTATTATTATTATTATTATTATTATTATGGATCATCGCACAGTCAGCCAGATGTTCAGACTGGATTTGGCATTTTGTCTACCTATCGAGTTATTATTATTACTATTATTACTATTACTATTACTATTATTATTATTCCTTCTGGGTCTAATGGAAAGAGAACTGGAAAAAAATCTGGAACTCTGATTTTATATATGGTGATGGCAGCAAGATTGCTCTATGCACAAACGTGGAAGGATGCCTCGATTCCTACCATGGATGAATGGTTACAAAAGCTGATGGAGTTAGCATAGATGGCCAAATTGATTGTGCTGGTAAAAGAAAACAACGTAAGTCCTTTTGGAAACCGCTTCTGGACTTTGTGCTTGAGGTGGAAAAAATATTATGATTTTGGGTTTCACAGATTAGACTGAATTGCCGATATAAAAATGGCTAGTGCATACTACTATAGCAATGTAAAATGTTGAGATTTGATTTTAATGTCTGATTTTATTGCAACAGAGTGGAAGTCAGTGATTTTTGTTTCTTCCCCCCCTTATTCACACCCTTTTTGTTTTCCTTTTTTCTACCGTTGTCCCCTACTATTTGCTTTTGTATTTTCATGTTTTATGTTATAAATGAATAAAACTAAATAAAATTGCAAAAAAGAGAACATGTATATTGGCTACAAGGTATTAGCACTGTTAAAAGTGAAACCAAGACTAAAGTTCCCTCCGAAAAGTTACAGTATTACAAAGTTAAACTTCCTACCCTATAGAACTATACAATCAACTAGTCAGGGGTCTTCAAACTTGGCCCTTTTATGATTTGTGGACTTCAACTCCCAGAATTCCTCAGCTAATCATAAAAGGGCCATGTTTGAAGACCCCTGGACTAGGTTTTACAATAGAACAGAAAGCTCAGCGTCCCAGTCTAACAAACAGAAATGACCTTGGTTCCCATGGGACAGAGAACTGTTTTAAGCTAAGCCCTCCCCCATTCTGGTGGCAACTGAAAACAAGCCAAATGGCTTCATTCAGGTCCGTTTGCAGAGTTGACACTTCGGGTATTTAAAATGGCCATGACTATTGGGCCTTCAAAACAACTAACAATTGTTGCAGTTGATCTTGGCGCTGAAAAAAGTGACACAACTGTTTTTCACACTTTGATGAGCATTGCAGCTTCTCCATGGTCACGTAATCAAAATTCAACCCCTTGACAACTGACTCATATTTATGACGTTTGCAGTGTCTCAAGATCATATTTTCACCTTATGCAACCTTCTGCCAAGCAAAGTCAATGGGGAAGCCAGATTCACTTAACAACCATGTTTCTAACTTAATAGCTGCAGTGATTCACTTAACAACTGTGGCAACAAAGGTCACGAAATGGGGCACTTAACCATTGTCTTGCTTAGCAAAGGAAATGTTGGGCTCAGTTGTGGTCATAAGTTGAGGACTTCTTTAAGGCAACGGAAATACACGATTGTGCATACAGAATATATTGCTCTGCAATTTTTCATAAACACTTCCACAACGGATGGAATGGTGCTTACAACATGGTTTCCAGTCTCTTGTCAATTGTGATAATGGTCCTTTCTGATAATGGTCCTTTCCTTCCTTCCTTCCTTCCTTCCTTCCTTCCTTCCTTCCTTCCTTCCTTCCTTCCTTCCTTCCTTCCTTCCTTCCCTCCCTCCCTCCCCCTCCTTTTTTTCTTCACCTTGATGCATCTCCCTTTGTTCTTCTTCCCTTCACCTCTCCTTTCTTTCACCTTCCTTCCTCCTCTCCTACCTCTATTCTTCCTCTTTCCTTCCTCTCCCCTTCTTTCCTTCACCTTGATGCATCTCCTTTCTTCCCCTCCTCCCCTCCCTCTATTCCTTCCTTCCTTTCTCCCCTCCTTCTCCCTCTACCTCTTTCCCCTTCCTTCCTCTCCTTCACCTTGATGCATCTCCTTTCTTCCCTTCCTCCTCCCCTCCCCTCCCTCTATTCCTTCCTTCTTTCTCCCCTCTTCCACCCTTATTCCTTTCACTCTCCTTCCTTCCTTCTCTCCTCTTCCTCCCTCTATTCTACCTTTCACTCCCCTCCCTCCCTTCTTTCTCTCCTCTCTTCCCCTCTATTCTTCCTCTTTCACTCCCCTCCTTCCTTCCCTCCCTCCCTAAAAACGCTTAATAACTTTTTTAAAAAAAGAGAAGATAACGTGGTTGCTACAAAAAATATCATATTCCCTACAATACGATATAAAAAAGACATTGCAAGCCCTGTTTCTTATGGCAAGTTCGCCAATCTCCTTTCCTCTTTGCAAAAATCATTTTTCACCACCCCTATCCAAAATCTCCTAAATTTAGCCCAGTGTTTCTCAACCTCCCCCATTTTAAGAAGCGTGGACTTCAACTCCCAGAATTCCCCAGCCCTCATCTAGAGCCCACCCCCCCTTCTAGCACCCCCAGGATAGGCTTGCGTCCTCCTGGGAGAGCAAAAGAGGCGGGGAAAGAAGAATTCTCGACGCGCGACGTCATCGCCATGACAACCTGCCAACTGTAACGCAACTGCCTGGCCCGCCCGCTGCAATTTGAGCAAAGCCCCCGCGACGCGTGGAGGGCAGGAGAGACTAAGTCCCCCCCCCCAAAAAAAATAAAAAAGTAAAAATTGCATTTTGTTTTATTTTTAAATCAGAGCTCATTGCATGCTGCAAGATCATCGATGGAAGCGTCTTTCGTGGAAGAAGTGGCTGCGTCTTTAGTGAGAGAGTTCCTGAGCAAAAAGGTGAGGGGGGGGGGCGGGAAAGGATAGGGTGGGGGGAAGGAAAAGCCTCGGGACACCCTCGGGTGTGCCCAACGTGGAGAAGAGCCGGATTCCTCCGGGGACTACATTTCCCACAATGCATTTGAGGGGGTTGACAAGGCGGAGAAAGATTTTCCTCATTTCCATAGGCAAACGGTGGACCATTTGTTTGTAATTAATTTTTAGTAAAAAAAATTTTTTTCAGAACAAAATCTATACAAATTTAAAGAAAAAAAGAAAGCAAAGAGAAGTAAAAGAAAAGGGATGAGTAGATAAGTAGAGAAAGAGAGAGAAAGAAAGAAAGGAAGGAAGGAAGAACAAAGGAGGCTTTGAATCTTCTTTACAGCAGATAAAATAACCTTTATTGCCATTTTTTACTGTGAGAACACGGGCACCCACTAAAAATGAAATTCTGTTGCCTTTATAGCAGTGATAAAGGTATCATTATTTTTCTCTCTTAAGACTACATTGTCCTCCCTTCTTTCCTTATTTTGTCCTTTCTAAGCATCATTTCCATAAATCAGAACTTCGTTTTTTTCTGTTTTCAGGAAAAAGTCCATAAAGAGGTCCCAGTTATTAACAAGTAGAATACCAGTGTTTTTCAGCAAGGTCACAAATGGAGATATAGGGACTCTAATTCCCAGGGGGTTGGACTAGATGACCTCCAAGGTCCCTTCCAACTTTACTACTACTACTACTTTTCCTTATAAAATAATAATAATAAATTCTCAGTAATGACCCTGCAAGAGAATTCTGGGAATTGGTCTGTGCGTCTTAAAGTATGGGGGAGGGGGATTCTGGGAGTTGAAGTTCACCCAATTTAAAGCATGCCAGCTAGTGCACTCTGGGAGTTGAAGTCCACACATCTTAAAGCATGCAGGCTGAGGAATTCTGGGAATGGAAGTCTACACATTTTAAACCTCTTAAGACAGGGGTCTTCAAACTTGTCCCTTTTATGACTGGTGGAGTTCAACTCCCAGAATTCCTCAGCTGAGGAATTCTGGGAGTTGAAGTCCACCAGTCCCAAAAGGGCCAAGTTTGAAGACCCCTATCTTTAGAGTTATGAAGGTTGAGAAACACGGTGACAACAGCTTTTCTGAATTATTATTTCTGATTTCTAAGTTATGGTATGAAGACTGAGGTTTCTTTCCGATACTGATTATAGCTTTGTCTCTTTCCTGGGCAGGGCTTGAAAAAGACAGGCATCATGATGGACGAAGAATTTCCCCGTACGGCACTTAGCATCAACAACAGAAACGAACTCCGAAATGTTCTGCATCTCCAGTCTTTATACAAACAAAACAAGGTAAAACAGGACAGCGTTTCTGCACAAGGTGTCTACAACACTTTACACGGGTTCTCAACCCTGGCAACTTTAAGACTTGTGGACTTCAACTCCCAGAATTCCTCAGCCAGCTTTGCTGGCTGAGGAATTCTGGGAGTTGAAGTCCACAAGTCTTAAAGTTGCCAAGGTTGAGAACCCCTGCGTCTAGGAGTTATAAGCAAAACTCTTGATGGGACAAACCGCCTGCAAGGCTTGAGGTAGAATCACAGAATTAGGCAATTGGAAGGGGCCACAAAGCTCATCTAGTCTCATCCCCTGGAATGTGCAAAAACAACTAATGGCACCATCCACAAGTTACAGTTTTCAGTTTCTTCTTTAAAAACTCCAGAAAATGAGAGTTAATGATCTCAGGAACTAAGGAGAAATTTCTTCACACTGAGAACAATTAATCAGGGGGTGCTTTAGAAGTTGTGAGTGTCCCATCACTGGAGGTTATTAAGAAAAGACTGTCTGAAATGTTATAGGGTCTCCTGCTGTGGGGGTTGACTAGAAGACCTCCAAGATCCCTTCCAATTCTATTATTCTGGACTGAATTGGTATCACCCCACTTAGGCCCTGAATGTCTGTTGCTAAGTGAATTGACCCAATTTTATTTTTTTGCTAAAGTTGTTAAGGGAATTACAGGTAGCCCTCAACTTACGAACACAAAATTGAGGCCAAAATAAAGATAAAGAGAGGGAGAGGGAGAGGGAGAGAGAGAGGGGGGGAGGGAGAAAGAAAGAAAGAAAGAAAGAAAGAAAAAGAAAGAAAGAAAAGAAAAACAATTTCTACAAATAATCCTATCAATAGTTACTGGTTTACTAATAAACGCCTTGCTCTAATTTAGGGGTCTTCAAACTTGGCCCTTTTATGACTTATGGACTTCAACTCCCAGAATTCCTCAGCCAGACACGCTGGCTGAGGAATTCTGGGAGTTCAAGTCCACAAGTCATAAAAGGGCCAAGTTTGAAGACCCCTGCTCTAATTTAATACTACATAATTTTGCTTTAAAATATCACAAAGCAGGAGACTTGAACCCAGAACATGTAGGCTAGAAATCAACTCTTTTGTCTTTTGCCAACAGTAAAATCGAGATAGACTAATTCTAATGGCCCTTTATCTTACTTTTTCTGCTGCAGGCAAAAGAGACTCCTTTCAAAACCATTCTGGAGATCATGGCGAGCTATTTTCTGGAGCTCCAGATTAACCAAAGCTTCCTGGGAAATTCCTCATTTCTGGAAAACAAAGCTTCTCACGCAAGAAGTACAGAGAGTTTTCCTCCTAAGAATTTTCTCTCTGGAGAAGCCACTGCAGGGCAAACAGCAGCTGAAAAAATTAAAAAAGGGACTCCCAGGTATATATAACTTTTACCATTTGATTCTAAATCTTTAGATGGCATTCATTAACTCAGGGGTCTTCAGACTTGCCCCTTTTATGACTTGTGGACTTCAACTCCCAGAATTCCTCAGCCAGCATGCCTGGCTGAGGAATTCTGGGAGTTGAAGTCCACAAGTTATAAAAGAGCCAAGTTTGAAGATCCCTGCTTGTGGATTTCAACTCCCAGAATTCCTCAGCCAGACACGCTGGCTGAGGAATTCTGGGAGTTGAAGTCCACAAGTCATAAAAGGGCCAAGTTTGAAGACCCCTGCATTAACTGATTGCTGCAGACAGGAAGTCCTTGATTTATGACTGTAAATTAGCTCAGAATCATGGTGATAAGTCTTGGTGGTCATTAAGTGATCATTATATGATTGTGTCCAATTTTATGACCTTTTTGACGGTGGTCATTAAGCAAACAGTGCTGTCGTAAAACAAATCCACTGTCTGCAATGGCTGTTTTTTTACTGGAAACTGGAAGCACGGCTAGTCCTCTACAATCACAATTAAATACAAAATTTATGTTGCAAAGTGCGACAGTTGAGTTTTGCCCCATTTTACAACCTTTTTTGCCACAGTCGAATCACTGCAGATGTTAAGTTAAGTTAGCAACATGGTTGTTAAGTGAATCCGGCTTCCCCCCTTGACTTTGCTTATCAGAAGGTTGCAAAAGGAGGGTCACCTGACCCCGGGACACTGCAACCATCATAAATATGAGTCACTTGGCAAGCGTGTAAATTTTGATCACATGACCACAGGGATGCTACAATGGTTGTGTGAAAAATTGTTCGTAAGTCCCATTTTTTCAGTGCCATTGTGACTTGGAATGGTCATTAAACAAACAATTATAAATTCAAGGACCTGTGAAGGTCAGTTTTTGGCAAAAAAATGGTCATGAATTGCTGTCATGTAATGTGACTGTGGGAAACAGCTGTAAATGCAGACCAGATGCTGGGTGTCCAAAATATGATCATGTGACTGTGGGCGAGGGGAGCTGGTCATCAGAACTTTGAATCAATATGTTTTTTTGGGTCCATTATAACTTAGAGTACAGATAGTGCTTGACATATGACCACAATTGAGCCCAGAATTTATGTTGCTAAGTGAGAAATTTGTTAAGTGAGTTTTGCCCCATTTTACGATTTTTCTTGCCACATTTTGTTAAGTGAATGACTGCCGTTGTTAAGTTAGTCACACGGTTGTTAAGTGAATCTGGCTTCCCCCATGGACTTGGCTTGCCAGGTCGCAAAAGGGGATCACGTGACCCCGGGACACGGCAACCGTCGTTAAGTACGAGCCAGTTGCCAAGCGTCTGAATGTAAATCACGTGACCATGGGGATGCCGCAATGGTCATAAGCGTGGAAAGTGGTCACTGTTTTCAGTGCCGTTGTAACTCTGAACGGTCGCTAAAAGAACTGCTGTATCTCTTTATTTGTTATATAAATGGTTGTAAGTTGAGAAGTACTTGTATTAGTGTAAAAATTCACAACTTACCATTTTCTCTCTTTATGCTTTATGATAAAAATGATGAAAAAGCTGCAGGCCCTGTAACTGGAGGTTTCCAGGAAAAAGATTGGCTGGCCATTTTTACGGGATGATATAAAGATTGCTTGCACTGGGCAGGGGTTGGACTAAATGACCTCCGAGGCCCCTTCCCATCTAGGTTGCTATGAATTAACTATTAATTACACGCCAAACTTATTTTTCCCAAAATACCGTTGTCAAATGATTAAGAGATAAAACATATCTGTTGCTTCCTCTCCTTAACGGGCCCAAATATACAGCTTTCAAACTTAAAAAAGTCTGTGGTTTGATGCAATTATTCACAGATAGGAACAGGACTGACCAGGATAGAGAAAATTAATCCACACTAGGTGATGCAGAAACTATTTGCTTCATCTTCGTCAGCTATAAGAAAAAGCATCGTCCTGTATCCAATGCTCCGACACTGGAAGTTTTTCAAAAAGAGGCTGGACAGCCATTTGTCCGAAATGGTATTGTTTCCTGCCTGAGCAGGGGATTGGACTAGATGACCTCCAAGGTCCCTTCCAACGCTATTATTATTATTATCCAGACAGTTTAACTAAGGGCAGGTACACAGATAGTCCTTGACATACGAGCACAATTGAACTCAAAATTTATATTGCTAAGAGAGAAATTTATTAAGTGAGTTTTGCCCCATTTTACAAACTTTCTTGCCACAGTTCTTAAGTGAATATCTACTTTGTTAATTTAGTAACACGGTTGTTAACTGAATCCGGCTTCCCCATTAACTTTGCTTGTCAGAAGGTCGCAAAAGGGGATCACTTGAACCTGGGACACCGCGACCGTCCTAAATATGAACCAGTTGTCAAGCATCCAAAGGTAAATCACATGACTATGGGGATGCTGCAATGATCATAAGTGTAAAAAATGGCCATTAAGTCACTTTTTTTCAATGCCATTGTAACTTCGAACCGTCACTAAATGAACAGTTGTAAGTCAAGGATTATCTGTATTCAGGCATGTCTTATTTACAAATAAATCAAAATACAGCCCTACCTAAAGAGTCATTTTCTATGAGAAAAGTGTTATATAAAAATGATCGATAAATAAATGATAAGAGAATAGATGTTAGATAACAGATGATAAAATAGATGATAGAAAATAGATAACAGGTAGATAATAGATAACAGATGATAGATAAATAGACGGACAGAAAGATAGATGTGTGTGAATACATCTGGAGTTCTGCAACTGGTAAATCAATCAGCATGATTGATTTAAAGAAACAAAACTTTAATAATGGTTAGTCTTTACTAGCTAAAAGTTCAAGGCATGTTTCCAGAGCCTTTTGCCTTTTAACTAAATGTGTTAATCAGAAGATGCACTACTCAACCCTTTCTGAATTCCCACAAGGTTAATAATATACATTAAATGACATTCCTGAAACTTACAATTTGGGATTGCCAAATATTAGAAGATGAATTCTGTAGTTATAGTAAATGAACGGGAGGTGTGATATAACATGCTTTCTGTGGTGTATTTTTCAAATGCTGGTTGTTTTGAACTACAGTACTTCATTCTTTGTGGATTAAGTCTGAACAATGAATAGATGGTCATATAAACACTCAGAACCAAAATCTATAGCCCGGTCCTTAGTGTAAATCAGTGTTTCACCCAGAATTTTCCAGCCAGCATGCATGATTTTCAGCTCCCAGAATTCCCCAACCAATATGATTGGCTGGAGAATTCTGGGAATTGAAGTCCACACATCTGAAATGTGCTGTGGTTGAGAAACACCAGTATAAGTCCTATAATATATTGTAGAGCCATAGCACTGGAAGGGACACGTGAGGTCTTCTAGTCCAACCTTCCCTCCCCAATACTGTATAAGAGTGGTCTCCAACCTTTCCAAAGTTGCGGACCAGTGGGGGGGGGGAAGGGAAAAGGGGATCATTCCATGCAGAGAGTGAGTGAGCACATGCGTTAAGTGCAGCTCATTTGCACAAGTGGCAGATAAGTGCACTCACTGTTTGTGCAAATGGAGCTACATGTGCTCACCCGCTGCTTCTGCAGCTCGGTAGTGGGGCTGCAGCCCAGGGATTGGGGACCCCTGCTGTATAGAGATCCCCACACTATTCCAAGCAAATGGCTCTCTAGTCACTCTTAATTTCAGGAGACAGCTGGATTCAGTCCCCTCAGCCACAGACTCTGAGGAGCCTTAGCATCCGTTTCTGACCAGTCTACCTTACAGGGTTGTTGTTGGGATAACGGCCGATTTCTGAATGCTACCTTGGGAACAGAGAAAAGACAAATGATGTATTTAAGTCACAGGGGCCTTCAAACCTGGTCCGTTTATGACTTGTGGACTTCAACTCCCAGAATTCCTTAGCCAAGCACACTGGCTGAAGAATTCTGGGAGTTGAAGTCCACAAGTCATAAAAGGGCCACGTTTGAAGACCCCTGATTTAAGAACTCCAATTTGCCTGTCTCAGCTTATGAATGGAAGGCTGCCTTGCATGGTTATTCTGGGGGCTTCTGTCTCAAGTCCATAGTTCAAATGCATGCTTTTTTTCTGCCTCTACAAGCAAATGGTCTTTCCCTTTGGAGAGAAGGGAGTCTTTTAAAGCGACCTCGCAGTTGCAGATTTAAAAACGAACAATATTTAGATGGAAAGAAAAGCCCTTTTCGAGTTACAGCCACCCACCCACGGCTGCTTGCAAAAAAGCGGAACCGCTTCACAAATACGGACAGCCCCAACCCTTTCTGACGCAGCCTCACTCACCCCGCCTCCCCACCCCCTCCTGCCGCGACCGGGGTGCGGCTCAGAATGGAGCGTCCACCTCCAAGCGTTTCTTATTTATAGTCTCTGACCGAGCATGCGCATTCCCCTCCAGATTCTGGGTGCCGGCCCGGAAGAACGCAGGGGTAAGTACAATAGACTAGCTGGGAAAGGCGGCCTCCTGCCCCGCCCCTCTTCAGGGCAGCCAATGGAAAGCGTCGTACATGGGATACTCTGGTTTGTTTCTCTATGTTGAGAGCTTTGGGAAGGAGGGAGGGAAGAGATTGCTCTCTGCGCAAACGCAGATGATGATTTCCTGGGCTCCTTACTGCCACCTTTAGGCCTTGTGTAGCATTGTAGTCCCGTTCTAGTGAGTTTCTTTTCCCCTTGATGTTTAAAAGCAGGTAGAGAAGCTACAGGTGAAGTTTGCTTCGCATGAAAAAACTATAGAGGAGGTTCTCCCTGTTGAACTTCTGCTTGGCCGGCAGAACCTAGGCAATTAGGACCTTTCTGATAAACAGTTGAGCTGTTCTTTTAATAAAACAGTTGGAGATCAATTAACAAATCATTTGTAGGCAGTCTCAATTTACGACCACAACGGAGCCCAAAATTTCTGTTGCTAAGCGAGTCAGTTGTTAGGTGAGATTTGCCCCATTTTATGGCCTTTCTTGCCACAGTTGTTAAGCGAATCACTGCAACTGTTAAAAAGTAGCAATAGCAATAACAATAGCACATACACCGCTTCATAGTGGTTTACAGGCCTCTGTAAACGGTTTAGAGACTCAATCTGTTGCTCCCCCAACAATCTGGATCCTCATTTTATCGATCTTGGGAGGATGAGAAGCTGAATCAACCTTCAGTCAATGAGGATCGAACTCCTGACAGTCAGCAGAATTAGCCTGCAATACTGCATTCTAACCACTGCACCTCCGACGGCTCAAAAGTAACACAGCTGTTAAGTGAATCTGGCTTCCCCATGGACTTTGCTTGTCAGAAGTTTGCAAAAGGGGATCACGTGACCCCGGGACACCGCAACTGTCATAAGTACATGTCAGTTGCTAGGTATCACGATGATGTGACCACGGGGATGCTGCAATGGTCGTAAGTATGAAAAATGGTCATAAGTCACATTTTTCAGTGCCATTCGAACAGTCACTAAACAAACAGTTGTAAGAATTACCTGTACACCAGAGGTCAGCAATTATGGCAACTTTGCAACTTGTGGATTTCAACTCCCAGAATTCCTGAGCCAACATGGAGACTTAATACTTTTACTTTATTGTAATTTTAGATATCATATGTAATATAATTTAGTGCTTACATTATAATTTTAATATATATCCTGTATTTCACATGTTAGGTGCCAGTTAGTTTATTTTACAAGTGTATTTTAATTATGTCTTAAATTTACTTTGTTTATTATCTGTACCGGTCTTTGGCCACCACAAATTGAACTAAATTGACTGCCTTAGTTATGCTAAATGATGTCCATCATTAGCACACAGTGCAATTTCAAATTATTTCTTATCTAAAATTTCATTTCTTGAATCTTTTCAGCCTTGAGCTTTTATTGAGATGCGTTGCTGGCCAGGCTTGATTATTTTTATTTCACTGATCCTTCCAACTCTAGTCTTTTTTTTTTTTAGCTATGAGACCAACGAGGGAATAAGCTGCCTGTCCAGAAGGCATTGTCCCAAGCCAAGTGAGAAGGGCAAGGCGAGAGCCACATCAGATGGTCAGGCACAGGCTGAAGGAGAGAAGAAACTCTGTGATCCTCTGGATGTATCGCAGATTCCTGGAGAACTGCCCACAGAGACCAGAATGGCATTGAGGGAGAAACTGCGAGGCCAGCCCAATGTTCTTCCACCTCAAGGAAGGATAGCTGCTTCCACAGATGAATCTCAAGAGGTTTTGACTTTACTCTTAAATAGTTTCTCTTCTCTTCTTCCTCTTCTCCCCCTCCTCCTTCTTAAATCTATTTTTTTATTTCTAAACTTTATTTTACAGGCAGTCCTCAACTTAGAACAGTTTGTTTAGTGATTGTTCAGCCTTACAACGGCGGTGAAAAAAAAGTGATTTATCACCATTGTTTATACTTACAAGCCTTTGTGGTGGCCTCCCCGCGGTCACATGATCAAAATTCTGACCCATGGGAACCGACTTGTATTTATGACGGTTGCAGTGTCCCAAAGTCATGTGAGCAGCTTTTGCAACCTTCTAATAAGCAAAGTCAGTGAGAAAACCAGATTCACTTAATACACGTTACTAACTTAGTAACTGCAGAGATTCACTTTACAACTGCGGCGAGAAAGGTTCTAAAATGGGGCAAAAGTCATTTAAGAAGTGCCTTACTTAGCAACAGAAATTTTGGGCTCAGTTGTGGTCGTAAGCTGAGGATGGCCTGTATTTTCCTGCATTTCTACAGCACATGTTGTCTTCAAAAGGATTTTAAAAAATCCTATTTAATTTGAGTTTCCCCCACCCCCAAATTTAAAGCAGTTTTCACAGAACATGTTACTTTGGCAATGCTTATACTACAGAGACATTTCAATTAACTGCATTTTTTCATTGTTGCATAAATAGCTAGGAATTTTGTTGTTGTTGTTCGTCCATCGATTTTTGATGAAGACCTTGACATCTTGTGGGTTATGGGCCATCAATGATGTGTCGATAGGCGGCTGATAAGACCGATGTTAGCACAGACTGTTCTGCCACATACTGAACAAAGAAATGTAGACACTGTTACTTCAGCATTTACAGCTCTGGCTTTGCAGAGTGCTCGCTTCTCTTGTGCCAGGATTGTCCTTCTGTGTTCATATGTCTGGCAACCCTGGTACACCAAGGTGCGCCATATCGATCGATCATACGCCAGAAGTTCCCAAGAGATGGTGTTAATATCCAGGGACTTAAGAGAGGCTTTCAGCATGTCTTTGTATCGCTTCTTTTGTCCCCCGTGTGATCGCTTTCCTTGAGACAACTCACCATAGAAGAGCTGTTTAGGGATGCGATGATCTGGCATCCTTACAACATGACCTGCCCAGCACATCTGGGCTTTCATCAACAGAGTGTAAACTGAGGATAGGCCTGCTCTGAAGAGGACATCTGTGTCTGGTATCTTATCCTGCCACTGGATCCTCAGAATTCTACAAAGGCAAGTCATGTGGAAGTAGTTCAGTTGCCTAACGTGCCTCCTGTACACTGTCCAGGTCTCACTAGCATACAGCTAGGAAATACAGGACAATTCTACACCTTACTGTACTCTTAGATACCAACTCTCTGACAACATATAGTGTAGTGTGGTTCTGCATAGCAGCCTTAAAATACGTTCCTGGGTCACAGATCTCTTTTAATGAGCACCCATGCCTACACCATTATTTTAGAGTGTTTTGTATTAGGTTTATTGTATTATCTGTATAATACAATAAATCTTATACAAAATTTGATTGCAGGAACTGGGTATATTTAGTCTAAGTGAAAAGAAGGATGAGGGGGAACCTGATAGCAGTCTTCCAATATCTCAGGGGCTGCCAGAAAAAAGAGGGAGTCAAGCTATTCTCCAAAGCACCTGAAGGCAGGACAAGAAGCAATGGATGGAAACTAATCAGAGAGAGAAATCAGTGCCATTGTAACTTTGAATGGTCACTAAATGAACTGTTGTAAATTGAGGACTGCCTTTTAAAAGCACATGCTTTTTCATTTTTTTAAGTAATTTTCTATTATTACATTTGATTAGTGCTTAATAAACATCGTATTATCTGGGTTAATTTGTTTGCTTAATAATACAAATTACATTCTTAGTCTCTACCCCTTTTTTCCAACCATTGATAAAATAAATTCCATGTTTGAAAATATTCTGTATCTTTTTTCTCTTTGATCCTCAATGTAAGTCTGTCCATTTCAGCACAGTCCAATATCTTCTTGATTATCTCTTCACCTAGTGGTGTTTCTTCCTTCTTCCAGTGCTGAGCAAATATAATCCTCGCTGCTGTTAAAGTGTTAAATATACACTTTGCTTATCAGATTTTTCTGGTATTATACCTAGCAAAAAAAAAGTTCAGGTTTAAAATCTACATGTTTTCCTAACATCTTTTCTAACCAAGTGTGTATTTTTGTCCATTTTGTTTTACTTTAACACAGGTCCACCACAAATGTGCCAGATTTTTGGTTACATTTCCAACATTTACTAGATCTATTTTTAAAACATTTTTGCTAATCTAGCAGGTGTTAAGTGCCATCTATAAAATATCTTATGTAAGTTTCCTTTATAAGAAGTTGCCACTGTCAACTTATAATTTCTTTCCCAAAGATATTTTTTTCTTTTAAAAACACATGTTTTGAAGAAGCAGTATCCTTATTACACTTCCAATCAATTGCTGTCTCAGACAGGTTTTTTTTTCCTATACAAACATAATGCTTTAAGTTGACACTTCCCATGTGACTTTGGTGTCCCCTACAGGATTCCTTAAAGAGAAGGAAGCGGCTATCTGGAATTTGCAGCCCGTCCAAATTCGGCCAGGAAGCCACTTTTAAAAGTTCTACAAACCTCCCGGGTCACTCCTGCGAGAGAACCATAATCCCCAGACCATTGGATGAACTCCTGTCTGCCCGCAGCGCTTGTCAGAATAGTTCGCTTGACTCTCCTTCGACTCGGTGCGCAAAGAAGGATGACTCAACAATCCAAAATGTGGACAGTTCTGGAGAAGAGCCCTTGACCAAGCCGGGACTGGATAGGCCAGCTGAAGCAAATAAAATTTTGCCTGGGTATGATGCTTACGAGAAAAGGCGCCCCTTGGACGTTTTTCGGAAGGAGATGGGAAACCGGAGTGGCGTGAAATCCTTGCAGAAAAACGAGGCTCCGTTTACAGATCTCAGGTCAGCTCCTGGGGGGGGGGGGATTTCTGTTAAATGAAGCATTTTAAAAATGCATGTCACACACGTGGTTGAGGACTCACACGAACATTGTGGATATATTTGTGTGCAAAATGATTGAGAACTTAAAATTGCCATACCTGCTCACCAGAAGCTGCCATTTGTGAAAACCTACCAGCTTTCCTGCAAACAAGTATTGGGGGGGGAGGGTTATCCCTGACTTATGACCACAGTTGAGTCCAAAATTTCTCTGGATAAGCAAAACAGTTGTCCGTTGAGTTTTGCCCCATTTTACAACCTCCCTTGCCCCTGTTGTTAAGTGAATCACTGCAGTAGTTAAGTTAGTAACATGGCTGTTAAGTGAATCAGGCTTCCCCCATTGACTTTGCTTGTCAGAAGGTTGCGAAAGGGGATCACGTGACCCCGGGACACAGTGACCGTCGTAAATATGAACCAGTTGCCAAGTGCCTGAATTTTACTCACGTGACCACAGGGATGCTGCAACAGTCGTAAGTGTGAAAAATGGTCATAAGTCATCTTTTCAATGCTGTTGTAAGTTAGAATGGTCATTAAATGAATGGTTGTAAGTTGAGGTAGTAATTCTAGTGAATTCTATTTTTTAAGGAGCGATGAGTAGTAAAAACAATGAATACCAAACAGATTTTTCAGATAAGGAATACAAGTAGTCCTTGAATTACCACAGTCTATTTAGTGGCCATTTGAAGTTACAACGGCACTGAAAAAACCAACTTATGACCGTTTTTCCACACTTAACAACGGTTACAGAATCCCCAGGGTCCCATTATCAAAATTCAGAAGCTTGGCAACTGATTCATATTTATGACGGCTGCATGGTCCCAGGAAACTGGATTCACTTAACAGCCATGTTACTAATTTAACAACTGCAGGGATTCATATAACAACTGTGGCAAGAAAAGTGGTAAAACAGGGCAAAATTCACTTAACAACTGTTTCACTTAGCAACAGAAATTTTGGCCTCAGTTGTGGTTGTAAGTCGAGGTCTAGCTGTATTCCAAACATAGGATATTTCAGGGGTGGCTGTGTATCAGGAAGACCACAAGAGGACAGACTTCTCAAAATAATTTTGTTCCCACTATTATTCTTTGGGTTTTTTTCTTGGCAATCAGCCTGAGGCAGTAGCAACTTGAGATTTGTGGCCCAAATCCTGTTATCAAAACTGGAGCAAAAATTGCCTCTTAAAACTGTAACAAACTCTGATAAATCTTTTCCTGTAAAACATAGTAGATTTGAGGGATGGGGAACTTCTCAGCTTAGAAAACCAAACAACAAGAAGAGGATTTGCAAAATTATAAGGGCCTGGGATTCTGGAAGGAAAGAAAAGAAGGATAATATAGGCCAGTGGTGGCGAACCTATGGCACGTGTGCCAGAGGCGGCACTCAGAGCCCTCTCTGTGGGCACGTGTGCCATGCCCTGGAGATGGCAACCGTCCCTCTTCAACCAGCCCCCGCTAACTTGCTGAGGTCCCAAATGGCTGGATGCATCCCAGCACCCATGCGCTTGCTGGCCTCTGTGTGTGGGGGCTGATGGTGTCAGGCAGCAGCCGCCCTGGCCTCTGCTTTGACTTGCCCTGCGACATGGCACCCCTGCCCTGCCCTGCCTCACCTTGCCTCACCCTGCAGGATGAGCCTACTGCCCACTGTCCCACCTGTCAGAGACCCACTGGATTTTCCTCAATCCTGTCTGGCCTCCACAGGTGTCCCTCCCCACGAGCAACATCGAGGTGATCACGCCCACCTTGGCCACACCCACCCAGTCTGCCATGAGCACCATAGCCACGCCCACCAGTGGGCCACGCCCACCTGGCACCCGGCAATAAATAAGTGGGTTTTGGGTTGCAGTTTGGAAATTCGGTCTCTAAAAGGTTCACCATCACTGATATAGACAGTCCTTAAGAATGGAATGGAATAGAACAGGACAGGACAGGAAGAACTAGACTAGAATAGAGTAGAATAGAATAGAATAGAAAATATAGAATAGAATAGAATAGAATAAATAGAAAATATGGAATGGATGGAATGGAATGGATGGAATAGAATAGAATAGAATGGAATAGAATAGAATGGAATAGAAAATATGGAATGGATGGAATGGAATGGAATGGAATAGAATAGAATAGAAAATATGGAATGGATGGAATGAAATGGATGGAATAGAATAGAATAGAAAATATGGAATGGAATAGAATAGAATGGAATAGAATAGAATGGAATAGAAAATATGGAATGGATGGAATAGAATAGAATGGAATGGAATAGAATAGAATAGAATAGAATAGAATAGAATAGAAAATATGGAATGGATGGAATGGAATGGATGGAATGGAATAGAATAGAATGGAATGGAATAGAATAGAATAGAATAGAATAGAATAGAATAGAATAGAATAGAATAGAAAATATGGAATGGATGGAATGCAATGGATGGAATGGAATAGAATAGAATAGAATAGAAAATATGGAATGGATGGAATGGAATGGAATAACAAAGTTGGAAGGGACCTTGGAGGTCTTCTATCCAACCCCTTGCTCAGGCAGGCTTAGTGACCATTTAACTTAGCGTAGTGACCATTTGAAATTAAGCTGGACCTCACCAGAGCTACTTTCAATCTAGGTTCAAAGTTCCAGTGACCCTTCCCAGGATCACACCATTATATTTTGGATGCTTGATTACCGGCCCACAAATATTGTTGTTTGCACTCATTCCACCATTTATAACATTTTTCCCCGCAGGAAACCAGCAGTTATTTCTGGCTTCCAGAAAAAAAATGCCCATTAGGTAATAATTATGGCAATCATTTATATATTTTTTTCTTTCTTTTCTATTTTTCTTCAGGTTTTTTTTTCTTGCACTTTTTCCTTTGTCTTTGATTTCTTTCGTTCCCTTTTTTGCCTTTTCCCTTTATATGGGCTGCATCAGTTTCCTTTCTTCTCTTTTCAATAGTAATAATAATAACAATAATAATAATTATTATTATTATTGTCGATAAGAAAGACAAAAAAGTCTGGATAGTGGAAGTGGCAGTGCCTGGAGACAGCAGAATAGACGAGAAAGAACTGGAGAAGATAACAAAATACAAAGACCTACAAATAGAAATAGAAAGACTGTGGCAAAAGCAAGCAAGGGTAGTACCAATAATCATAGGCGCCTTGGGTGCAATCCCAAAACAACTGGAGCACCACTTGAACACCATTGGCCTTGACAAATTCGCTATTAGTCAATTGCAAAAGGCGGCCTTACTAGGAACTGCTTCCATCCTGCGACGATATCTGTAAGACCATCAAACATCCACATCTGCCTATCCCAGGTCCTGGGTAAGGACTCGATAGGTAGACTAAATGCCAAATCCAATCTGAACATCTGGCTGACTGTGTGATGATCCATAATAATAATAATAATAATAAAGTTGTAAGGGACCTTGGAGGTCATCTAGTCCAATCCCCTGCTCAGACAGGAAACCCCTATACCAGTTATGGTGAACCTTTTAGAGTGCCCAAACTGCCCAGTTTTTCCTTCGGAGGATTATTTCTCTTGTTTTCTTTCTCTTCCTGTATGCAACTATACAGATAGTCTTTGACTTATGACGGTTCATTTAGTGACCATTCAAAGTTGCAACGACACTGAAAAAAGGTACTTACATTTTTCACAGTTTTGACCTTTGCAGCATCCCCATGGTCGCATGATCAAAACTCAAGATGCTTGGCAACTGACTCGTACCTATGACTGTTGCTGTGTCCCAAGGTCACATGATCCCATTTGCAACCTTCTGGTGAGCAAAGTCAATTGGAAAAGGCAGATTCACTTAACAACCATGTTTCCAACTTAACAACTGCAGTGGTTCACTTAACAATTGTGCCAAGAAAGGCTGTAAAATGGGGCAAGACTCAATTAACAACTGTCTCACTTAACAGCATAAATTTTATGTTCAAGGACTACCTATATTAACATTTATAAGGTATTTTCTCCTTAAATTGTTACATTCATTGCACCTATAGAGTTGCTTCTTCATTTCCCTGCGCCTGCAAAACACTTCACTGCAAAAATAGTCACATTTCAGGAAATACTTTTTTTTAAATGCATATATAAATCCTGCTGGAATTTTTATTTACACAAGGGGGAGGATCTTCCAGGGTCTGGAAATCATTCTTCCCCCCCTCTCCCCAATTTGCAAAGGTATGGCTGAGTCAGGAATATTTTTATTGATTGATTGATTTGTTTCAATAATTATATAAAAACTCTATGTCATAACAGTCATAATAAGGTTCAGCAGCTTATAAGTAAAAGCAGCTATAGAAGCATAAAATGACAGCGCCAAAAATACTTGTAGTGACCAGCTGAAATTTTGATATCACCCCCCCTCCTGTGATCATGTGACCTGGCAGCCATCCTGCATTTCTGGCCATTTGCAATGTCCCGTGGTCACGTGACTTTGACTTACGATGTTTTTGCTGTTTATTTCCGCTTCAGCAGAAAAACAGCCCACAGCAAACAATGGATTCAATGATTGCCGAGTCTGCTTAATGACAGCTTGCAAAAAATAACATAAAATATCATAAAAACAGGTCTGGTTTTAATGACTATCGCAACTTATGACTATAATCGGCAGGTTCAGTTACAGTCATAAGTCAAGAACTACCTATAAAAGAACACAAGCAAATTAAATGAGGAATTGCATCTATACCAGGGGTCTCCAGCCTTTTTGGATTGGCGGCCCAATGGGAGAGGGATGAATGAGGCCACATGTGCCAGCGCGCATACAAACAGGCTGCGAGCATGTGCACCATGCAAGCAGGGCTGCAAACATGCGCACGAGGCTATCAGTGACGGCGGTGTCTGTGTGAGGTTTGTGGCGCCACTGCTGCTAGGCTCACGGCAAAGCTACCACCAGCGTGATGCTTGTGCCACGGCCAGTAGCGATGCTGCCCCTGGTGCGAGGGTCGCGTCGCTACCCCTGTGTGAGGAT